TTCTACGCCCAACGACCGGTTTGGCATCCACTCTGACGTCATAAAAACGTTCCATAGTGCAATCAAACGACGTCGTATCGAGAAGCCGTACTTATAAGAAAGACGATTTATGTTGTCTAGAACAACCTTATGCACTTAAACCATGTGAATAGTTGCAAGCAAGCTTATGGTATCGCCAATGATAATTGTCTCAATATGTTCAGTTATGGAACATTGTGGAACATATAGATGGTTTTGGCTTACAAATGGCGAATAACGGTAACCTTGAATTCGCAAGCGTCGATTATCTGCGCGCAGAGGGCGAGTTGGTCGCGGTGCGGCGTACGGTGGGTAGGAAAGCGGATATTGAAATACAGAAGTGTTAAAAATATTCGACAGAAGAACTCTAATTACGTCCGGTACATCGCATGAAACGCAAGTCGTTGGTTGTCCACTCGGTAAAGGTAAAGTCCCATTTTGCTTTCTCCGCGCTGCGTTTGCCGCGATCACCAGCAGGTTTCGTCTAACATCTGGGGGCTGACATCGGTTACTGACTCCCTACCGGTTGGATACGTATGCTGCCTCTGTAAAAGATTGTAGGTGAATAATTGGTCCTTACTGCCTTTAATGGGATAAATTTTTGACAGTTGTTTTTATTCGTCACTTAATATGCCATAGCTCAGGGTGACTGATGAACAAGTCATGAGGCATGTTCAAGAGGTGCCACTTGCTTCGTTGAAGTTTTCCCAGCTGCAGGAGGTGTGCTGCCTTGCTGTTTAGCCAATCATTTGCTCATACCACTCAGGTGTTGCGCTTGTTGATGGAATCAAATATTCCTTTAAAATCTGCACTACATGCCTGGAGTGCAGAATGGGCAAACCTGGAACTGAGGCTGCTTGATGAGCAAAGGTCAGTCCTGACATCATACACTTTTGAGCCTACTCATTTAACTTAAGCCAAGTTAAGCTGTGATTTGCAGGCTGCCCAAGTGGTGCCAAGCTTTTTCTGACATACAATGTCAGGGTGTAGTTTTGCTGGACATCACATGCTACGTCATACTCCTTCGGGTCCTTGAGTTGCTTTAGAGTCATAACAGGCTATACCTGCAGTCTAATATGGTGCACTGAAAGCTAAAGTGGGGATGTCAGCATGGTTTTCTATGCAGTGTGTACTTTGTATGCAAAGTAAATGTTATTGGGATTTTTACTCTCATTAGCAGTCACATTAAATATTCCTAGTTTGTACCCTAAAGGCTAAACCCAGCCATCAAGCTAGCAGAACCCTTTATTGCATGCACGCAATACCTGTCCCTTTTTGCACCCACAAATTTGACTAGCAAAAGTCCCTTCAATAATGCACAAGTGTAGGTTTATGTCATTCACTGCAGGGAGTGACATCAATAACCATGGGCACTGTACAGGGGCCAAATAAAAAAGACAGTTTATGGTTATACACATGACTTTGGGGACCCTTGTGTTGTGAACATCCCAGGCCACAGTGCTGAACATTACAGCTTGGAACATTGCCATGAAATGCCTGATAAGTTGTATCAAGGCTGTTACAGATTAAAACACTTAACTTGATGTTTTTAGTTTAATAAATTTGCTAGATTCTCTGAAGCCCTTGGCATTATGCAACTATGTTATTTCAATTATTATTCAACTTTGATTAAACATGTTGGCCTAGACAATGACAGCTAGGTAATACGGCATTCCTAAATTCATCAACTAGGGCATCCAGGATATGATATAAATTCATACTACCAAAATCCTGGTTCTCCGGCTGCCTCTGCCTGCAAATATTTGGTGCTAAGATATTGGCCTTTGACCCTGAACCTAAACATCTGAACTGCCTGATCCATTCATCCAGCCTGAAGTGCTTAGATGTGAGGTATACCACCCTTTGGTGGATGCCGATTAACTGACTGAGCAAGGGAGGGGCAACATTCACTGAGCCCCAAGTATGAGGTGTAAAAGCATGAACAAGTCTTGACAGCTGTGTCACCCAAGTGGTCAGATATTGAAACATTGCAGCATTTGCTTTCAGTGCATGGTGAGTTGCTCAGTGTGAAAAATGAGCAATTGCTGCAAAATGGCACAATATAATATTTGTGTTTGAGGATTAAACATGTAAAAATGCATGCTGCAATATTGCACTATAGTGCTGCAGAGCAACTACATATCCAACCTGGTGCAAAATCACTTTGTTTTTGTCTTAAAATGAGGTTTTGTGGGGCTTCAGTTATCAAATTTTGCTGACCATATGTTGCCATGGGAGAGAGTTGGTGAGGGCTTGGCTGAGAATCCACAATACTCCTTTCAATTGAAAGAGAGTGAAATTCTCCAAGCTGAAAGAGTTTCAAGGCAGTTGGGAAGCAAAGGAAACTAACCCACCATGTGGACTTTGACTTCCTTTGCACATGTATTGCACAAGTCTGAAGAGTCAGCAACTGCCTTGTGGCATCAACATCCCTTGGTTACAGTAGGAGCAGTGAGCAGCTGTAGCCAGCCAACAACCAGAAGGGAGTAATTCTTTCAAAAGGAAATGGCACACCAATTTTGGTTACATAATTGCTTTTACTTAATGTCAGTTGTCAGAAGAGAATGTTTTAGAAGAGAAAGCTTTCCAAAGGAGGCAGCCTAGGGAAGTCATTGATCAAGGAAGTTATTTGCATGTTTTGGGTGGACTATGGATGCATGGTCCTTTCAGTATCTTTTTTTTTGGGGGGGGGAGGCATAAGAGTGCCTACTATGAGAATGGAACCTGCATAATCAATGATGGATTTTTGGGTATAGACAAGCCATAATGTTGATGGGGTTGCACACTTACAGGGTGAACAGCACAGAAGGATTAGAGGGGATGGATATCTTTTAAGTTGCATTTTTTAGGTAGCACCACAAGTGCATTTGCATTTCAGTGATGTTTGGGTTCAATGCCAGTCCTCATGTGGCTAATATTCTGCATACATGGTAGCTCATTGACTCATCAGCAAGCATTGTAGTATGAAATGTGCAGAAGTCAGACATGTCACCTTGCAGGGTTGGTTAGAACTGAGGAGTAATTTAATCTTAGTAGAACTGGGGTAACAGGTGGAACTTATGTGGAAATGCATTATTCAAGACCAAACATGGGATTACACACACATGTGTGCTTTAGGCATGCTTCCTTGCAATGTGCAAGGACGTTTCTGAGTGCTAGTCTGCTTGATTTAATGCAAAGTTCTGTTGGCTACTGACATCTATTTTACATTATTGAATATGTATTGCCATCCAAAATGATGTTATGTAGACAGATATCAAGAGTGGAACTTGAACATTGGCCATCGCTCCAACTACATAATGCTTAGTACCTTGACCAACTGGTGGATGGCTTGTAAAAATTAGGTAGTGTTTCAAAAAATTGAATGAATTTTTTTTAGATCAAGATGCAAAATATTTCAGGTGGAGTCATTTATCATGTGGCAAGTTGGCAATGTCAGCATGCTTGATAACAGGCAGCCATTTTTGGAACATTCCATCCTGAAATGAATATGGTATGGGGTCTCAGTATTTGCCAGTGATATGCTGAGGTTGGGATGGATCTGTGCATGTTTGTAGGCTGCCATGGTCAGTGATGACTGTGAAAGGCCACCATTTGTTTTAATGTATCTGCTGTGCACCATAGCTGTTCACCTTGGAGATAGGTGTGCATTCCACAATATTGCTGCTAGAAAGGTGCCAGTGTGGTTTATGTATGGGGTATCTGACTGCCAAATGTAGGTGATTTGTTAGGAAAATCTTCAAAGCAAAGCATCAATAAAGGCTGTGCTGTAGCAGCTCCTGCAGAAATTTCCAACTACACTTGATAAACTGCAAGAGCCATAGCACTAAGAAGAGCTGGCGCTCAGGTTGTCATATGTAGATGTCGGCGATAACGAATTGCATAATGTTTGCAGGAGGGATAGTTGTACATAATTATGCAAAATTTGGAAATGATTTTGCAGTAATGTAGTAGGAGTGAAATGGGTGTGTCTGAAAATTGTTCTTATCTTCAAATTTGTAAAAGCAGCTGGTGAGCAAGGATACAAAAGCATATGTTTATTACTTCACATGGCTTGCAGGCTAAAAGTGTAGGTGTGTGAAGGCAAAACAACTTATCTTTGGCTAATTTGCATAACTCATATTCGTATGCAACTTCTAAGGCTTCTTCCTTGAGGTTGGGTTGCATTTGGATGTGGCTTATGCAAATGCTGGGCTCTCATTGCATCTCCGCTGTGAAGCTGACTGAAGTCCTGGCAAGAATGTCATCATCTGGTGCTGCATGAGCAGAAGCTATTTTTTGCACTTCTGGTCCTTCCTGGAGGATTTGCAATGCCTCATATGTGCTATTTGTTCAGCAATGGGACTGAAATATTTGCTTTTACTAAACTATGTCATGCATCAGAAGTCACATTGCTGGTATGCAAAAGATATTCATCTGACAGATACTCACTGGATGGTAGGTATATTTGCACATTCTTTAGTTAAAAGGTTTCTTAAATTGTATTTTACAGGTGAGGGCTATCAATTTGTGTATTCAGTCTGCAGTGAAGGTGTCCTGTGTGTCGTGTTTGCCATCGCTCTTCAACAGTCTTTAATTACAGGGCTACCGACCATCGTCTCCAGAGCATCTCTGATTGAAAGTGGTGTGAGCTTTACAAAGTGGTGCTGCCTTGAGTTGGTCCCTGGTGTCGCGGTGCAGTGTCTAGCTTTATGCCCTGTGCGGGTTGGCGTGGGGACGGCGAGCTTGCGTTCGCTCTCGGTTATCACCCGACCATGCCCCGCTACCGGCGTCGCTCCTCCCGCTCGCCCAGCGGCCGCCACTCGCGCTCTCGTTCGCGCTCGCGCTCACGTGACCGCGTCAAGTACGCGCCGCTGGAGCGCTACGACTGGCGCGAGGCCAGCTCGGGCCGCCGCCACTGCCGGCGGCGGCGGCGCTCGCCGTCACCGCCGCGTCATAGACGGCGCCGCTCCTCGTCGCTGGACGCGCGGCGCCGGCGGCGCTCGTCCAGTTGGCGGCGGCAGCGCGAGCGACGCCGCCGGCGCGACAGCAGCCAGAGCCGCGCCTCCCGCTCGCGCTCGCGCTCGCGTTCGGCCAGCGTGCAGGACGACGAGGACGGCCACCTGATCTACCGCACGGGTGACGTGCTGCGCGACCGCTACCGCATCGTCGGCTTTCTCGGCGAGGGAACATTTGGCAAGGTGGTGCACGCCAAGGATCTGGCCAAGGGCGGCCGCTCGTGCGCGCTCAAGATCATCAAGAACGTGGAGAAGTACCGCGAGGCGGCGCAGCTGGAGATCAACGTGCTGGAACGACTGGCTGAGAAGGACCCGCACGGCAAGCAGCTGTGTGTGCACTTGTGGGACTGCTTCAACTATCACGGCCATACGTGCCTTTCGTTCGAGATCCTTGGCAAGAGCGTATTCGACTTCCTCAAGGACAACAACTATCAGCCTTACCCGATCGAGCACGTGTTGCACATGGGCTACCAGCTGTGCCACGCCGTCAAGTTCCTGCACGACAACAAGTTGACCCACACCGACCTCAAGCCGGAGAACATTCTGTTCGTCAACTCGGACTACGACCTGGTGCCGGACAGCCGGCGGAAACGGGAGACGCGCGTCGTACGCTGTCCCGACATCCGACTGATCGACTTCGGCAGCGCCACCTTCGACCACGAACACCACAGCACAGTGGTGTCGACGCGACACTACCGCGCGCCCGAGGTCATCCTCGAGCTGGGCTGGGCGCAGCCGTGCGACGTCTGGAGCGTCGGCTGCATCCTGTTCGAGCTGCTGCTGGGCTACACGCTGTTCCAGACGCACGATAACCGCGAGCACCTGGCCATGATGGAGCGCGTGCTGGGCCCGCTGCCCGCCGCCATGGTGCAGCGCACCAAGACCAAGTACTACCGCGGCGGCCGGCTCGACTGGAGTGACCGCTCGTCGGCTGGTCGCTACGTGCGTGACAACTGCCGTCCGCTGCGCCGCTACCTGCCGCGACCCGACGACGCCGACCAGGCCCTTCTCTTCGAGCTGATGGAGGCAATGCTGGTGCACGAGCCGACGGCGCGCGCCACGCTCGGCCAGGCGCTCCGCCACCGCGTCTTCGACCGGGTACGTAAGGCGGCCAGCGGCAGCGTGTCGCGGTGACCCGCCGCGCCAGGCGACGTGGGAAGACGGTGGCCAGCTGGCACGGCGCTGGCGGCCGCCGCGCGTCCGGTCGACGGTGGTGAGGCGGGCCAGGCGGCCGCCTTCGCGCGGCGCGGCGCTCTGGCAGCGGCGGCGCATGAGCACTGGTCGGAGATCAAATGGTGTGTGGAGATGGGCTGAGATGTTCTGATTGTTGTGATGTGGGCCGACAAGCCTCTGCTAGCCGATTGGCAGCAGCGACGGCGTCGTTGAACCGTTGCCAGGCGTAGATAAGTGTGTTTTCAGTGTTGTCGGCCACCCCGCTGACTTGCTGGTTTGGCCATAACGGCTTTGGTCGTCCCACTGACTTGCACTTTAGGAGGGTTGTCCGCCAACTACAGTGTCGTGTCTGCTCTGGAGTAGCTTGTGGAGCATTACCAGCATAATGCAGTTTTTCATAACGGTGTTGATATTTGGCAATTTAACGCTGCGTTATGAGTATGTGAGGTGCATTGCCGCGCGTGTGTATGTGATTCCTCTGTATGGGATTCACTTGTGCGTGATTCCATCTGTGCAAGGTACACTTCTGCCTGATTCCCTCTGTATGAGGCACTCTTCGAATGGAATCAATCTTCAGTCGTTCGGCCTCAGTCGTTGAAGAACTGCTAAGAATTTGCTTCTCATTGGTGCGAGAAGAGTAGATGAGATAATAAAGCGTGCTGGGACTGAAGTGGGTGGTAAAGCCAATTCTGGCATCCCCTTTTCGAGCAAATTTCTGTGCCGTCTCCTGTTTGCGGTGCGTGAGCTCATGTAAGTTCACTTACGTCCTGAATATGTTTTTGCATAGATGATTAAGACCCTATGAGCTACTAGAGCTTCAATCGCTTTTCTTGTGCGGTTTTTAGAGCTGAAGGATTTCTTTTAGGACGAGTCACTCGATGGATTCCATGAACATTTTGGCTCGCGGCATAATGCGAGATGCCCGGTACGTAGACTTTTGCACATGAGCCGCATAGAACAAACAAATCATGGAATGTTTAAGGGAATGTTTCGTCTCCTCCGTTGTCCAGAAGGTTTGGAAATTCACTCAAGTCGGTCAATTAGAGCATGCTTTTTTCTTGTAAAAGTTAAAGAGTTGATGTAAGCCCCAAGTCGAATACGAACACCATTCTATTGGGATGTGGATGGATGTTGAAAGGGCCAGAAATCCTCGGTTCGAAAGCCGCATTGCTGTCTGACAGCGGGCTTATGTTGTCCGAAAACGCATTCAAAACGCGTAGCTTTTACAGATGCAGGCATATGTGATGGGCCTATCTCGCCGTGACCACTGGCAGGCGTTGTGATATTTACTAACGACCCGAAGCGAGCAGTTCGCAGACCAAATGAGCTTCGCATTATGCGCATTTCAAATGACGTTTCTTCCGGACTAACCCCAATATGCAATCTTGGCTTGAGTGCACCACCTCAAGATCAAACATTCCCTTAATTGCATTCGTCTGAGGATCAACGGATATTGAGGTTGAGCGTCAACCGGACGCGTGCTCGTTGTGCCGCCCTCGGAGCGGGGCCGGTCAGCCGCGGTGAGTCGGCCGCCGGGCCGGTACCCTGTGATGCGGGGCCTGCTTCAGCCTTCGGCAGCGGCCGCCGTCGGCCGGCCGGCGTAGGCGGGGCGGCAGCTGGCGGCAGCAGTCTGCGATCGCGGGGAGCAGTCGGCGACTGTGGGGAGCTGTCGGCAGCGGTCGGCACTGGTGGCGTTGGCCTGGTCTGAGACGCGCAGCCCGGGGACGAGGTCTTCTGTGCGCTGTCGTCGGCCGCGTGCGTCGGCCCGGTGCGGCGCCGTCCGCTGCCGCCGCACCCGCACCCCGCCCGCTTGGGCACCGCCCGGCACCGGAGGTAACCTGCGTCTCGCACGCGTGCGCCGCCACCTCTGTCTGTGATCCGCTGCTGGCGTGGGTATGACGTGTGCGCCTGTAGGTCGTGTGTCGTGGCGGTGTTCCGGTGCGACGCTGCTGTGGCGATCACTGACGCTTGTTTCCGCCACCAGGGAGCGTTTCGTTACACCGGTACTGTGTGGCGCCATGTCTGGCCCGAGTGAGTTCGGCTTCGGCGTACCGACGCCGACCGGTGGACCCATGCCTCTGCAAGCCCACACGGTGCCTTTTGAGTGAGTAGCCGCGTAGAATGGCTGAACGGGGCACCCTTGATGTATATTTGGTGTTTGAAGAATGTGTTGTAGTGCCGGTTGCGTGTCAAAGCCGACGATCTCGTATCGTCAGTTTGTGGGCCAGATAAACGCCCCCTTGTCAGTGTTGAGATACACTGCTCGATTTACCTGAAATTGATTTACCTGAAATGCATTTGGAAAGAAACGCGGGGGAAAATGAAGTAAAATGGTAATCAGCCAAAATTGAGAGCCGGTCAAAATCGTGGGAACAGCTGCAGTGGAGGCATTGTCCTTCCAAACTTTCGGCTACGCTTGTATAATGACGTCAGACTACAACTGCCGCTGATGCTGGCAGACACTGAAAAAAGGCACCCTGAACCCCAATGTGCCGCTTGGATTTTTACAAACTGGGAGTAACGATCGTTTTGTGTAATGCTGCTGCTCTCTCAAGGTGAAAGGAAGCTCGTGTGCGGGACTTCTGTGACGACTGGTGTCTGAGCCACTTAGCACATTCAGCTCAGGCCATATAAGGTGCACAATTTTTCTTCCATTCCGGCGTGATTCTGTCTGGAAGATGAAATGTAATTGGATAATCAGTTACAGGTCATTTTAATTATATATGGCACTCAAAAAGAGCGCTCAAATTTCCAGCATTCATGCTATAAAAATGATATTTTTGCTCCGCTTGTGAGACGGGGCCGGGTAATAGACCACGTATACCGCATGCATTACACCGGCGGTGTGTCGCTTGGTGATGTTGATCGACCGCCTTCAGCCACCTGACCTAGTGGGAGAAGCCCTGGCTGCCCGCGCCTTGCGTCCCGTTGAGTTGGTCCCGCTTTTGAAGGTCTCCTGGCCCATAGCGCAGTGGCGAGGCCGGCCAGTCCGCATATTGTCGGGGCGTTCGTGGCCGGCGCGGCCAGCAGACACGAAGCAGCGAGAAAACGCGAAGTGTTGTGGCGGGAGTCCCGGACGGACGCGGGGCCAGCTCTGCCGGTGCGGCCGAGTGGACACCACGGTCGCCAGCGCCGCCGCCGCTGCTGCCGTCGCCGCCGGCACGATCACCACCACCATCGCCGCCGCCGCCGCTGACTCCTGCCCAGCCTCGGACGCCGGAGCGGTCGGTCAGGGCGCCACCCGCGCCCGATGAGTACCCGCCTGAGCCGAGCGTATGCCGCGCCAGCGCCGTATGTCCGCCGTACGCGTGCGTGTCCGCCGTGCCGCCGCCCCCTGGCTCCACACAGCCGCTGAGGCCCCGCTCTGGTGGTTTTCAGCCCGCTGATGTCGGCGCGGGGCGTCCAGCACGCCAGCACGCGACACCCGAACCGGCTGCAGAACCGCGCCGCCCTCGCCAGGAAGAGACGCTGTTCACCGGCGAGGTCAGTGACAGCTGGAGCTGGCCAAGCTTTTGCACTCCGCCACGCCGTTTCGTATTTGGCTATACATGATGAACAATGGCTTGCGCATAGCGAGATGCACTGCCGCACGTCTCATGTATTTGTAATGAGTGTGTCCTGGCACTGCGGCGGTTGATACAATGCTGCACACCCAGCACTGTTTTTGTGTCATCTGTATTGTACCCGTTGCCACCGCTCTGTATGCACTGACTACGCGGCCGCTGTGTATTTGTGCGATTGATTGTGGTGTCGTGACGCGGTGTGTTTTTATCGGCAGCGGCTCGTCCCGGAAGCGACACGCTTCAGAGGAGGTGATTGGAAGTCTGCAGAGCCTCTCGCTGAGCGGCCGGTCACCCCGCAAACACCAGGTGAACGCTCAGTGCGCGCCCCGTCCCGCCTGGCCAGGCGGCGGCACGGCTGCAGTGGGGACAGCCAGACCCGGTTACGGAACCAGCAGGGAGGCTTACGTCTGAGACGTGTAATGGTCTGAATGTGGTCCAGAACGACTAGCAGATCGCGTGGTAGTGAACTCGTATCGGATTTTATGTGGCAAGACAAGTATTGCAATAGTTTTAAGACTCTGGTGTTATTTTGCTGCGGTTAAGCTATTGGGTCTCAGCGTAATTAAACTCAGGCGCAACACATGTAGCCGCGTTGCATCTTTGTGAAAGCTATTCTTTTTTATGGCCCAGAAATTGTAGGATGGATGCTTCTTGTGTTCGGTTGTAGCGATTAAAGTGCCTGTTTATTTCTGATTGCTGTGAACCCTGTTTTGTTTTAAATGCAAATGCCTTTTTGCCGTTAAAGGTAGAGAAGAACGTGGCATGAAGTAAAGGATCAGCGGCATAGATCTGACGGATTGTCAGAATGCCGGCCTGGCAATTTGCGCGGATTGTATGCTCGAATGGCCAAGTAAGCGTCGCCCAGGCTGTCGTCACCCGCCGTGATCTGTGCGGCAGGCGCGGCTGGAGCGGTGGCGTCAGCTGGAGCAGCGTCTGGAGTGGGAGTCTGATCCGGAGGAGCAGGAGTCGGCCGGCACGTCGGCAGAACCCCGGCTGGTCATGTCCGAGGAGGTTCAGCAGATGGTCTCCGCGCCCGCGCCCGCCGTTCTGCCCAGCCTTAGAGTGTGAGAACGAATGCGGCGAGGGAACGCTCGGTTGCCACAGGAAAGATCAACTGGGTCATTCAAAGTATGGGAACCTGAGTTGAGCTAAAACAGGTTGATGCGTTTTTAGTGGATGGTCGTTTCTCAAGGGTTTATTTTGCATATCTGGTATAAGGTGAGTGTATCTTGGTTGCGTGGCTTGACGGCGTATGGCCTTGGTTCGGGCTGCTTTTGGTCCCAATGCATCGAACCTGACCGTGTTGGTCTCCCCCCCCCCCCCCCCCCCCCCCTCTTTCCAGCCCAGACAACTCGATGGCCGTCGTGCTGTGGAAGCCGCGGCCGATCCCGCCGCCAGCAGCGCCGCCCGACAACCCGCCCGAGCCGAAGCTAGCGGCGTCGTCGGCGGCGCTGGAGCCGACCGTCGAGCCGCTGGACGTCGAGCCGGCCGAGCCGCAGCCGCCGTCGCCCGCCTACGACTTTTCGCCGTTTTTCGCGGCGTCGGCCGCGGCACCCTGGCCGCATCAACAGGTGGCCGGCCAGTCGCGCTTCCAGTTCGGCACGGCCGGTCCCCAGACGGCCGGGTGGCCGGCGCCGCAGTCGACCGACGGCTCGTGGTTCCAGTTCGGCGTCGGTGGTGCCCCGGGGACCTCCGCCGGCCTGGCCGGCTCGTTTGCAGGGTACGTCAACATTAACTGTGCTTGATGTTCGTCAGTTTTGTGCTTCTTGTTGAGGCGCTGACGTAGGGAAGGACCCGGTACGTACATACATCAGGAATACCGTCGACAGTATGGCTTACGATGCCCTCAGCCACTCACGCTATGTGACGTCGCCTGCCTCACTCCGGTAGGAAGGGCGGGCACCGCGGGGAACCAAGCCCCAAGGGTATCCGCCGTACCCGCCGTTCAAGGGCACCTGCCGTACCTGACGGTCAATGGCACCCGCCGTGCCCGACGGTCAAGGGTCAAGGGTACCCGCCGCGAAGATATGCGACATAATTTTGCCGGCGAGCGCGAAGCGTGATGACTAAGATTGGCCGTCCCATTTGAAACTAGTTCACGTTACCACTTTCTTGGTATGACGCTCATAATCACCGCATCTTTTTCATAGAGTGCTAGTGTTGGACGTGAACGGAGGGATCATCCTGAGCGCTCCTGCCCGCAGGTCGAACTCGTTTTCACCCGGTCAGGAAGACGATTCGATGGAACTATGACGGCAGCCTCAGGTGCCGTCCCTGGGCGGCCCCAGCGCTGCCCCCGGCTGAGACCAGCGCTGCCCCTCGACGCCGTTGCGACCGGTCGCAGCACCGCGGCCCACACGCGCTATTGTCGTTCAGATACGCGTATTCTGGGTCTGCGACTTGTGATAATGCGCGCCTGACAGGAAGGTGGTCATGTCAGGTGCTGATACTAATAACTGACTTAGTGTGTTTTACAGTCAGGTTTTCGCGTTTTACTGACGACGCGTTTTGTGTAATAAACAGTCTTGATTTGTGTTGCATGTCTTTGGTCATCAGCGAGGCACGAACTGATGCAAAGTTAGAAACATGCCATGAACTGCCAACTGACCAGCTATCTCATACAAATAAAATCATTGTGGAAAAAATTGTGTTTGCCGTAATTTCACCATCTCTTTTGGATAGCCATGAGTACCATTAGTGCGAGCGCGAGTAAGGGCAGGGCTGCACAAGCTTAGGCGCAGTTATCACAAAACGTGACTGCGGCCATGATTGCTGGCATGATTCGCAGCTGCGTCGTTCATAAATTGTATGATTAAATCAAGTTTACTGAAGTTGAATGGATAAAACACTTTTTGCTTCTTACCTTTCACAGCACACATGCTTCGAAACAGACTTGACGTTACCGGGCTGTTACTGTTACCAGTGCCATTTCACATTTCCGGTCTACTGGCTCGACAGACTGATCAGATGCTGTGCAAAACTGATTACCGTCCGCCTCTGCCGCCCGAGTTCTGCCACTTTGGATTGCGCGAACACGTATCGGTGCGCAAAAGGTCTGATATCTGGCCGATTTAAATATAGCTCAGCTAGTGCATGAGGAGAGGGGCTACACATATCTGACTTCAGCGCGCTAGCGATCTGTCTTTACTTTAAAATCCTGAGGGGAAAGTTACCTCGTTTCACGCTCATTTTCATAATTTTCCTCCGGCAAATATTGCGTTAGGCCGGTTGGTTACTGTTCGGCACGGATCCAATGTAAAAATGGGAATCAGCAAAAGACAAGCAGCAAAAGACAAATTAGATACACGTACGTTTTTTGCAAGATTAGGGACAGACGGGAAAGTGACACGGTACAGTGTAAACGTCATTTTCAATCAAACTGAGACGCTGGTTTAATCCATCCACCTTGCGTGCTTTCAATGTGACGCAGCATCTACGAATGCAAACGCATAGCACTCGCATGCGAGCCGTGTTTAATTCCTATTACTTCGTGTGATAGTAAATGTGTTTACGGTCGGGTTGTGGTACTCCGACTCGTCGGTGTGTGCGTTTTAGGCAAGCCGGCGGAAATTAAGTTAAAAAATGGGTGATCTTGAATTTGCGGATTTTACCGTGGTGTGATATGTGACTTCTATGTTTGCAATGAGGCGTGAGGGAAATAGCTTAACAAACATCGGTGGCTATGTACAACTTATCTTTTTATCATGTCATTTATTTTTTCCATTTTTATGCTTCACTCAAACTTTCAAACCATGTCGTTTCTTATGCAGCCTTCTCACAAATGTTTCTGGGCATTTTTTGGCATTGTTTGTGAACATGTTTCTTCCAGATACACTAAATTTTTGTTTTCATCACAAGGACAGAAGGGAAATATTGGAAATTTTGGAGAAGTGCAAGAATGGCAAGTAAATCTTTTGCAAGAATAAATAATATGTTTTCTTTAGGTAAGCTCCACTGTAGACCTATTAATTTATTTGGTGGATGGTGCATGTTATCAGTTCACATATTGACTTTCATCCTCAAACTCAACAAAAATCTGCCTTATTTTTACTTTACTGTCAATATTTCAAAAATGTGAGAAGCTGAAAAGCTTATATTACTAAAAAACCTTTTTTATTCTGACTTTTTACCAAGGCATGATAACCCACTGTCTTTTGGCTAGGCTGCAAATCTTGCCAACATTTTGCCAATATCCCTGACATGGTTCACAGACTGTATTGCAGGCATGCAGATCAGGCAAAGGATCTGCTGCAATGGTTTGGAACATTGTATTTTCTGGCTGCAGTCATGAGCGGTCCTAAATAATGTCAGCAGTTGTCAGATTGATCGTCATGTTCTTGTGCAAGCATGGTAATAGTATTTTTTCACAGTTTCACGAAGGGCTGCCCACCTGGGTTTGGCAAGGGGCAACCAATCTGCAAGAGGGTTCATCAGAACACATCCTGCATCGATAGTGGTTCACAGCCAGTTGAGCCATACTGGCTGTGATCTGAACAGCCAGCATGCTTGCCTGCTACCAGTTACCTCTGATGACAGTGGGCAAGAGTGGGATGATGGTGGCATCCCTCTCACTGTCTTGGCTGCAGGACTGCTGGCCACAGTGTGTGCTGCCAGTGATGAAGGTGGGTGCTTGAACTGTGCATTTGGTTTGGTTTCTGGATGAACATTGCAATGTTCAGGCGGGTGTATTGAATTTTGTATGTGCAAATATGTTGGCTTCCTAGACAAACCTTTTAAGGATCAATCCCCAGGAGAACGAGTAAGTGTAGAGCCTCACTGGTTCTGTACCAACGTTCTTCACCAAGATCGGTATTATATTGTCGACATCGGAACGTGCAAAACAAGGGCGTGAGCCGCCCCATACCGCTCCTTTTCGGAGAAAAAAGGGGTCAAGCAACACATCACTCGCATTCGCACCGAAAGCTACTGCTCTGACATCTACCACTCGTTCCGAGAAGGGACCTATAAAATGTAGTCAGAAGTCAGTCGCACGACTACCGGTTTTGCTGGCGTCCCACCACGCACGGCCTGCAACTAGACACAAAAGTCACTAATATGCAGGGCCCGCCCTGCGAAATCAATGCTGAAAGTATGAAATTCTCCCAGAATATGGGTGCCAAGGATCGCTGGTACAGGTACGTTTCCTACCACCAGTATACGAACGTGACTGAGCGCCGCCGGCCCAATCAGAATGTCCGCCGCAATCTGGCGGACACCTTTCATTTCCATGGCGTTTCGCTCTGATAGGATGTTGAGCTGTGTGCGCCGGTGGCAGAATGTGTGTCCCGGACATAGCCGCTGAAACACATATAACTACACCACCGGGTCCACTAACCACGTGCAGTCCAGCTTGCCAATGCGCCCCCTCACATGCAACGAGTGAACTGTCGGCTGGTCAACTGACCAAATGACCGGGCGGTGACCTTTGGAACGCGCTGGTTTGGCCTCGGCTACCACTCGCCCCTCTGAAGTAACCCGTTTTAGTTTAAACCTATCCGGCAGTCATGCTGGGTATGGCCAAAATCGTGGGACCTCCAGCAGACTATCGGTAACGGCCGACCTCGTCCCCGCCCTAACGGAGCACGAATACAGTCTCGTTGTATGTGTCCCATTTACCCAAACGTCCAACATGCCAGCTCCCTTCTTCCGCTGGCTCCTACCGGCCGACAAGTACGCGTGGCACGCGGCTGCACCCCTCCCCCCCCCCCCCCTGAACGCGTCCTTGCGCACCGCAGGCCCAACAGCGGACCCGTGCCGTCCCAAGCTGTGAGGTCGCGGCGCCCCGGGCGGGTCCGCCCGCCGCTCCATGAGAGGCCGGCTGTGGTCCGCCGGACCGAATCGCGTCAACCACGCTCGACGATTCAGCGACCACGCCCCGTAGCTTGGCGAGCTCGCCACCCTCAGCTGCGACGTTTTCTCTCATGTTTTGAACGGGAACGAATTACAACGCCGACGGTGAAATGGCTACGCCGGCACATTTAGCATGGTCCGGTAGTTCGTCAGCGACTATGTCTGGAAACAACAGGCGGACCTGAGATGCTACTGTGGGGCTGATGCCGTTTAAAAAACTGTTTCTGAGCCGAGCAGCGGCTGCTGAAGGGGCTCCGTAGATGGGGATCCGTAGCTGGAAATGCACCACGAAACAGCGAGCTTAAACTCGAAAGGAACAAACCGAACGTTTCTTCGGAATGGCTGCGGCTTTTCTCAAAATTGTCCCGACACCATCTCTGAGAACTGTCGAACTCACGCTGAAGTGCGGTCTTCAAGCTCTGCACGCCCATGGTATCCTCCCTCGAGTCTATGACACTTATCCGTCATCCCGGTGCCAGCAGTGCCTGGCCCACTGCTTCCTTGTCATCGCTCACAGAGAGGCGATCAGCGTCCACCCGGCGAAGAAAACCGGCGAGGTCTCCCCCACAACATTCGAATGGGCATGAGTTCGTATTCCATCGCTACCACCAGTATGATCGTCCTCACTCGCCGGGTACAGTCGGTTGGCATTTCGTCTGCTCCTCCGTGCCGTCTCGTCAGGTCGCGCGGTCAAGTTCGGGTCTCCGCGCAAAGGCGCGCCCAGCGAGCCACCGCGCAGGGGCGCGCCCAGCGAGTTGCCGCACAGCGGCGGCAGGCGCGCCTCATCACACATACCACAATATCTTTGTCACACGTTTCTACAAGGTAGCTTAACCTTATTTCCGCCGTCTATGACATACATAATCATGGAATTTTACCCCATACCTTTTCCCTGAATAGAGTAAAAGGACTGAGCTCCTGCAATTTTGTTCAGGCACGTTTGCGGAGCATTGTGACATTCCTCGAAGTTCCTCGCAATCTTACGCAATTAATCCATTCCTCGTAATCTTACGAAGTTTTTTACGTTACGAGCATTTGGACTTTGACGCCGCATTTTTCTGTAAATTGCGTGTTAAAATCGCGCAATGCGCAAGTGGTGCATGAGCATCGCGGTAGAGTTACTCTTCGGTGGAACTGGAACGTGGCGTGAATGCATAATGAGGGCTTTGATAATAGGTAATGAGTACGAATGGATGATGGGGACATATGTGTCAAGGTTTGTATGGTTTTCGGTAGGTTTCCGTTGTTTCTCGATTCTTGAAATCTTATTTGGATTCTGTCTTAGAATTTTCGGCAAAATGTTCGAATATTTCGAATCCCTATGTTCATTTTTCATGGGTACCGATTATATCCTGTGGACTGCTGTGCATGCCCCAGAGTAAAAGTGAAGCAATTGTATTTAGCATCCATCTTATGTGATGGCGAAATTAGCTAGTCCAGTCATTTGTGTTTGTTTATCCGTTCTTTGAGTTTTTACTCACCTAACCGTCGCTTTCCCGCAGAATCCAAGTTTTTCAAGGCGGCCCGCCTGGGAGACGAGCGTGAACTCAGACAGTAAGTGGAGGCTGTGCAATGTCTCAGTTTCACTATCCATGACTACAATTTCCTGTGCTGCTGTGTCTTTAATCTCTTTAAGCTCAGGGTAAAGTGTCATCGACATCCGTCCCTCTTATCCTGTATCTCACTTCATCCTGCACCCATCCTCGCGACACCCCGCTTGTCCGGGGCAGGCTGCATGCGCCAGCCACGAGTGGGCCGGGAGCCCCGTGCGTGGGAAAGGGGACGCGGACCGGGTACCCAGCGCGCATGCGCGACTTAAAGCCCGGCGGTCGGCCGCCAGGCGCATGCAAGTCTGCCCCACCGTTAACCACGTTCATTTATCCCATAGCCCTGAAGTGATCATTTCTGGTCGAAAGGGCTCTAATCCAAAAACCAACCAACCACTTCAGCGTCATCACGATATCTGGAACGGTAATGCGTATGGTAAACTGGGATCCCAAAGCTGATCAGATTTGCAATGTAAGCTCAGGAGTATGGTTTTTGAATTGTTGTTGTTTTTTCATTGGAAGCCCTGTGGGGAGTGAAGCTTGTTCTGTATTCATGGGCGTATTAAACGCAATAAAAAGCCAAACTCGTGTTCGTCGTGGTTGCAGCCAACAAGTGAGGTAGATTGACACCTCACATCAGCCCAACCGTTCATGTTTTGATCATTCCAGCACAACAGATATACATGCATGCACGCAGATAAATACGCATCTATTTCGTTACAAATCACCTGAAATTGTCTAGGCTTCTTGATTTATATTATTATATTAATTGACGCTTTGCCATGTCCAGGGCAAAAGCACATTAAGTACAGCAAATGTTTAAATGGACGAATTATTAACTTGCACGCATCGTGATTCGGATTAAGTTGTCTGAGAATCAGAATGTGTGTTTCTGCGGAGCACGTCGTTAGATATGTACATACATGACGCTGCTGCTTCCTTCGCCGCGCCCGGTCGTACAGCATTTCACATTTAACTAGTCGCTGAGTCGAGTTTGGACAAGTCGCATTTAGACGTAAAGGGAATGTAAGATTGGACTTCCAGCTCGATTAATGCGTACCCAGCTTAAGACGTGTGCTAACGCCGAAAAAATGTTTGCGACCCTGCGAGCGACACTGGAATGTCTGTGACCTTGCGAGCAACACTGGAATGTCTGCGGCCCTGCGAGCGACACCGGAAGACTCACGCGCAGGCCGCTCTTAATCATTCGTAACATTTTCAAAAGTCCGGTCAAAAGTTGAACTGAAATCACCTCCCCACCGGCCGGCCCGGTCGGGCCCCTGCCGGCCGGTGGGGAGGGCGAACGCCGACCGGCCGGTCATCTACCTCCCTCCCTCTCCCCCCCCCCCCCCCCCGTTCACACCGCGAGAGGCATTCCTGGTCTATATTCTGGGCGAGGCTGCCCGGTTTTCTGGACCCGAACAATTGGTGGGAGCCGGGCGTGATTGCGGAACTGGACAGGACATCGTGCATGGCGTGTTTGCAGCCACCGTCGGGGCGCGTGCCCCGTGCTTCATCGACACGGCACCGGCGGTTGGTATGCGCGTCAGCACGGCGAACGTGGCGTTGTGTGCCGGCAGACTGGTGGCGGCCGGGGAGGATGTGAACCAGAGGCACCCACTGGGCTGGACCGCCCTGCACGTGGCAGCTGTTCGGGGTCAGCTGGCTGCCGTCGAAGGTAGCGTCAGCTGGCGGTCACAGCTGACCGGCCACGCTTGTCTGCAGCTTAAAAGTGGGCGTTTTCTCCGGGCATGGTATGTTACAGTCTATCACTTCATTTATTATATATGTATGTATGTATATATATATATATGTATATATATGTATATATATGTATATATATATGTATATATATATATGTGTATATATATATGTGTATATATATATATATATATATATATATATATATATATCCATGTACTTAAGCAGGATGCATTCATTAATGTAAGTTTTTTATGTGCGAGAGCAAATATATATATTTATCAGTTTCTTGCGCATTTGCTCAATTGCTCAAATAAAATCTTGGGTTGTTTCGGTAAGTCACAGATCAGTTCAACTATGGTCGTTCATTTAAGTTTCAGCTAGCTAACGTTTTAAGGACATCCGTTCCCCTTTATCAAAGCGATGTAAGACAGTCGGAACGAAAACATTCGGACATGGCGAAATACGACGCATGCTCTACGGGGCATAATCAAAGGTGTGCCATCAGTTAACAGGCTATGCATCCGAATATCAGCGAGAATTACAAAACACATTAAGACACGTACATTACTTTTCCAACTATTTTGACGCCATGGCAAGTTGAAAGCATCGAATCACCCTGTCGCCACTGGGTGACCGGACAGGTCCAGCGATGCATGACCTAAGCTGTTTGCTTGCATGAGGCATTCTTTCTCTGATGGGGACGGCTTGGAAAACTTGTAAACGATGTTGGTTCAGACATGATTTTAAGGTCATAAAGTTGATTATGTTTCGTAGAGTATGCGCCGTATTTGGCCATGTTTGCCTGTTTTCCGTCCAGCTGTCTTGTATAGCTTTGAGAATGGAGAACGAATGCCATTGGGACGTTAGCTAGCTGAAACTAATACAAATGACTACAGTTGAACTGATTTACGACTTACTGAAAACAACGGGGGATTTGATTCGAACAATCGAGCAAACGAGCAATAAACTGATTAGATGTTCATTTGCCCTCGCATATAACAAAGCTTGTATATGTATGTGTATTTGTATACATAAATATACATATATATATATATATATATATATATATATATATATATATATGTATATATATGTGTGTGTGTGTGTGTGTGTGTGTGTGTGTGTGTGTGTGTGTGTGTGTGTGTGTGTGTGTGTGTGCGTGCGTGCGTGCGTGCGTGCGTGCGTGCGTACGTGCGTGCGTGCGTGCGTGTGTGTATTACTACACGCTACGTTGCATTGTGTAGCGTTGAGTAGTGGACTTAATGAATTGATGTGAATCTGTTCAATCTTGCGTTTACCCCTTGCTAACGTTTTACGGTGCGTGGAATTGACGCGCTATGTGCAGTGGCTTAATTCCCACTTGCATAGTGCAATTCGTCGTCGAATTTGCTACAGGCTTATGAAATCTTTCTCACTCATTTCATTTCCCACCCTTACATCGATTGCCAATACGTACCAGATAAGATATCTTGTATCGTAACATAAGATAGCTTATATCTTATACGTTATATCGGCACCGATAATGTCACTTGTCGCCCGAGGTTTTCACTTGTGCTGGCGCCAGGCCTAGGACGAAACCAGCTCACCATTTCCGTCTGCCGCCAGCGCTGCTCGAGATGGGCGCGACGGCGGACATAGCTGACGAGTTCTGCAGTGTCTACGCAACGGCCCGAGAGAAGAGGATCAACTCACTAAACGGTACGTCGTGCAGGGAAACTTAGCGCGAGGCGTTGCAACGTGCAGCTTTCTAGCGACCGATCAGAGAAGACGTGTATTTTATTGCGCACGCCTGGCTCGGTAAAAGTAGAACACTGGAGAGTTGGCGCCATTTGACATGCCTTTTGCAGTTCGTGACAGAGGCATTGCATTTGCGTGCGCAAATAACCACTGTTGCTGATACATGCGGATACCAAGCCATGGCTGGAATTTAAGGCACGGGCCGCTTGCGTGTCCACCCCTGGGCCATTCCAAACGGCCTAAATCAGTCGGGTCCACACCAGAAGCCCAGATTTGATGAAATGCTCGGTGTCTGGGGTTTTGTCGTGCTCCGATCACGATTCTGATTTTTTTTGCACCTCAACACCCAGTCGTTTTACGTCGATGACGTCTGAGCATGATGTGGGGACGGCAATGCGGCAAGCAAAGCGATGATAACACTGCGATCAACGCACGTTTTTATGGTATCAGAGAGCGATTTATTGTAGACAGTGCAATTTCCTTATTGGCGACAAAGCAACTTAAATTGTTGATATCATTGGTGGACTGCGCTTGTTATATAAAAACGCAATTCTCCATCTTAATGACACCTCTGATTTGTTCGAAACCTCAATTTTTAGAATCCCGTTAAATTTTATCCCGGCGACCATCATCAGAGAAGTGGTGGGGACTCTCGATACACCCGCACAGTGCTGATGCGATCATAGCTGGAAGGACCGATGCTCCCAGCTGGCCGGCCCCGCGCGCCACCCAGTCCCGCTCGCTCCCGGCTGGCCGGCCCCGCGGGCCACCCAGTCCTGCTTGCTCCCGGCTGGCCGGCCCCGCGCACCACCCAGTCCCGCTTGCTCCCGTCTGGCCGGCCCCGCGCGCCACCCAGTCCCGCTGCCGGCCGGTCTGGCCCACATCGAGGCCACCGGCAGTTGTCGGCCCCTCTCCCGTGCTGCTCCAGAAATACGACTCCAGGCAGGTGGAGTCATTGTTTTGAAGACGATATTGTCGCGGCTGTCGGCCTTCTACTCCACGCCCAGTGACATCGGTCGTCTCAGCTGTGGGTCACTTGGCGGCGTGACCTTTGTCTAGATAGACGGTTCTACGTGCAGGGGTTATGAAGCCGTCATACCTTTCGCAGGAGAGGGCTTGGGTTAACCCCTTTAACCTGAAGCTTCAAGTGACCGAAGAAGGGCTACGATCAGTCATCAGAAGGTTCATTGCCGGTCACTGTTCGCTTCTGAGACATCCATCAGTCGTTGACAGACTGTGCTCATGCAGAAATTAAGTCCCGAAGAAGTATTTTGGTGTCATGGATCTATCGTATCGGGACTCTGATCAAACTGGATCCGTCTCGGCCAGGCCCTCGAGGCTTCTCCACAGCCGGGCAGGTGAAATATAAAGGATCCTTCACACCGGGGTCTGGGCTCAGCTACGTTCGGCGGTCTTCTGAACAACCAGGACCTCCCAAACAGCCGTTTGTGAAGCAGGATCTTCGCCATCGTCCAGACAAATGCCAACAAACGTGTTGTGTGTGCGCTTGTGCAGTTGTATTGGCAGTTGTGCAGATGACACAACTTGTACTTCTGGAGCCGCCAGAACCCCGTCAGTAGGCGTAATTGTCTGCGCTCCTCTGATCACGGGGACCGCGGCGTCAAACCTGGAGATGGTGCTCCGGATTTAAATGGGGACAGTGTGGAATCTGCAGTTCGGTTGCGTGTGATGTAGGTGCAAGGTTAAATTTGCCGGTTTGGTCCACCATCGCTTTTTTGCACAATTCAATATTTTGGTGTGGTTCTTTGTCTGTTTTCTCGACGTCAGTTCTGTATGACACTGAAGATCTTTTCCTGACTTTAGCCTTCGCCTATTTAGTCTTTTCTCGGCCCCTTTGTATTCGCTGACACCGTTTGAGATTGCAAAAAAGCAACATTTTCAGCAGTATATTTTTTAATCATGCGTTTGTTTTTTGAGCGTCTGCTTGAGTTCAGCTACAGTTTCTTCTGTTCACAACCTGTGTTAACGTAATATTAGCATCTGAATAAACTAATACAGGTATGAACTAATACAGGCATAACGCCACAAAGGCCCCCGCCACACACACCTGAATCCTCCCAATGCAAGTATAACGCCACTCAGGCTCCATATCCACAGTCCACCACAGACACCGGCCACCTCGTCCGACTCCCAGGTCAGCATCACCGCGCGGGAGTCGCCCGACTCGACGTGATCTATCATTCTGGAACCTTCGGCCGACCGCACTTCGGACCACGTGATCTCCGCTGACCAGCTGATCGCCGCATGAGGAGGGCCCCACCCATACGGGCGGTGCGGGCTGACCGTAGCAGTCTCCCAGCAGGCCCGGCTCGAGACACGACACTGCGTCTTACCCATTATGTGATGTCTATAAGGGCTGTACGCATATTAGATTCGGTTGGCAACATTTCTTATAAGGTTTGTACTTACATTTTGCTGAGGAATTGATGACGTGCTTGCTATTTATGTGACACAGGTTGACCCTTGACATTGGCACGTTCTTATGGCATCGTATAATCTGCAGCAAGTCTCTTTGTCTATGGTGTAGTTCCATTAAAAAAATACATGTGGCAGGCAGATATAAACCAGCTCTCAACTCCCTATGCCGACTGTCGTTTCTCCGATGGCAGTCATAACAGATTCTTCTGGCGATCAGACTGCTTGGAGTGTCGCCATTGTCAACGGCAAACTGTTTGGCGCGAAAGTCAGAAAACTTCAGAATCGCGATCGGAGCTCAAGACAACCCCGGAAAGTGAACTTTGTCCAGATCAGAGATGATTGCATGGAAAATTACGTTTAGGGTGAAGTTGGCGTGGAGTGGGTCCCCTACGCCTCCGCCTGACTTGCCCCGCTCTCCCGGCCGGTGTTGGTGCGGCGTGAGGACGAGCCTGACCTCCCCCTCCCTCCCGGGCTAGTGCTGGTGCGGCGTGAGGACGAGCCTGACCTCCTCCTCTCTCCCGGGCCAGTGTTGGCGCGGCGTGAGGACGAGCCTGACCTCCCCCTCCCTCCCGGGCCAGTGTTCGCGCAGCGCGAGGACGAGCCTGACCTCCCCCTCTCTCCCTGGCCAGTGTTGGTGCGGCGTGAGGACGAGCCTGACCTCTCCCGCTGTCCCGGGCCAGTGTTGGTGCGGCGTGACGACAAACCTGACCTCCCCCTCTCTTCCGGGCTAGTGCTGGTGCGGCGTGAGGACGAGTTCAGTGATCGACTCAACAACCGGGTGTCGTTCCGCGGCTGCACGCCGCTCCACTACGCCGTGCTGATGGACCGGCGGGAGGTGGCGTCGGCTCTGCTGCGGCGCGGAGCCTCGCCCTTTGCCGCCAACGACAGCGGCCACACGCCGCTTGACTACGCCAAGGACAGGGCCATGCAGACGCTGCTGCGCGCCGCCGAGGAGAAGGTGCGAGCGGGCGGGGGAGGGGGAGGGGAGGGCTCGGAGGCCGGGTCAGCGTATCCGGGACAGGTGTACTGCGAGGCGGCGCGGGTATGCCGTGTTTCCACTGCGTGCACTGTTTTCCGCATTTTGTGCACCTTGAATGGAGTACGTTGGTTTCAGCGCCCTTGGCCGTTTTTATGCGAACAAAAAGGCACGTGTCTCTAAGCATTTGTCCGTTTTTATCAGGAGAAAAACAAATGGCATGTGTCTATGGCAGCGGACCCTCTAAAAGCGCAGTCAAAGATGTCAGAGGTTGTGCATGACACGGCATTAAGATCAGCGCGTTCATCACATATCGAGTTTTTGATAATCAGCTTTCGGATGGTCGTCTGAGCCACCAGCGTGCATTTTGAGTGCCTGTCGACCTAAAGGAGTTGTTTTTGGAAGATGTTCCTGGCAGTGCGGCGTTGCTCGCACGTGGTCACGCCATTCGAAGCAGCTTGCCGGCGCATATTTAGGGCAATTTTTGAGACAAGTTCCTCGCGTTGCCGATGGAGTAAGTGTTCAAACTGTTATCTCTGGCTGGTGTGTTGTAAGTTGCTATACACACAACGTTACGCCCAGTTGATTTGCCGGCCATCGTCGGTTTTTAGAGTCCTGAGAAAGACCAGGCGGTGTTCGGCCTCCAGACGCATTGTGAAGGCGGACCTGTCACAACCCGATCGTTCTCCCCGGAGTTGCGGACCCGCCCTGACCGTACCCGCCCTGACCGACAGCTGCGGGCCGAGCAGCGCGCGCGCGAGGCCGACGAGCGACGCCGCTTCCCGCTCGAGAAGCGCATCAAGGAGAAGATCGTGGGCCAGGACGGCGCCATCGCCACCGTCGCGTCTGGTGAGGGGTATCCGGTGTCTGGCTACTCCCCCCTCCCCCACCCGCCGAGCGGCACGCCATCCTCTGCTCTTGCGTCAGATGTGCCCGGGTCACATGGGTCACGGCGTCTGCCGTGGTTGTCATATGTAGCATTGCTGGGAAGGGGGCACTATTCGCACGCCCAGCTCCAGTATCATTAGTGGCCTAAACAGTTGAATAATGCTGTGCCGTATGACATAGTATTGCCGCGTATACATTGCTCCCTCGCAGCTATCTGGTGGGGACGTTCCGAACCTGTGTTTCAGCGATCCGCCGCAAGGAGAATGGCTGGTACGACGAGGAACATCCGCTGGTGTTCCTCTTCCTCGGCTCGTCCGGCATAGGCAAGACAGAGCTCGCCAAGCAGATCGCCGCCTATCTCCACAGGAACAACGCAAAGGGCTTCATTCGGCTGGACATGTCTGAGTACCAGGAGAAACACGAGGTCAGCTGTCGGGCGGAGGTCATGAAGCTGAGCGGGTGCTTCAGCCGATCGTACCGGTGTATGGGTAGACAATAGGCTGCGGTCGAAAGCCCTCTCTTCGCGTGCTGTTTTGTTCTTTTGCTCCCCCCCCCCCCTCCCCCCAGTATTCAACGGTTATGTTCTCCATTTTCACCAGTGTTGGATTCTTTTAACTTAAATTTCATAACCTGAAGGCACCAAAAGAGGATCAATTGGAAGAGACATGGTGAGCCATACCGTGAACAAATATGCAATCTTCGTGTATGTCTCAGCTCGCATTTATGCCAGAACACGGACGCAGTTTTGCTGCACATTCAAATAGCCGCTCGCTGACGGTCGTCGGTGCATCAGAGTTTCCGTCCCGCGTCGCCAGGTGGCGAAGCTGATCGGTTCGCCGCCGGGCTACGTGGGCCATGACGACGGCGGCCAGCTAACCAAGCGACTCAAGAGCTGCCCCAACGCCGTGGTGCTGTTCGACGAGGTGGACAAGGCGCACGCCGACGTCCTCACCGTGCTGCTACAGCTGTTCGACGAGGTGCGGACGCGGCGGCCGGCCCGGGGCGCGGCCAGCCATCGCTCGGCATTTAAATGTTGTAATGCAGACAATTTACGGAGTTGCTAAACCTACCATGCAAAATATGCCTCAGAACCTTACAACCCTCCTCTGTAGCTGACGACTCGTCTGCCGATACTGCTACGAGTTCGCAAGCTTACATGTTGTGTAACAGTTGGTTGGGCTGGGGGAGCTGCACCCATCCTACTTGATCTGCAACAGTTCTGTTCTACTTGGCCGTGCACTGGTGGCATGCGAGTGCTGGGTGTCGGAAGTCGGTCATAACTGGCGCGCTCGTCCCGCGCCAGGGCCGGCTCACCGACGGCAAGGGACGCACCATCGAGTGCAAGGACGCCATCTTCGTCATGACGTCCAACCTGGCCAGCAACCAGATCGCCGACCACGCACTGGAGCTGCGCCGCGAGGCCGAGAAGCTGGCCCGGGAGCGGTACGAGGGCAAGATTGGTGAGCGCCGCGTGCCGGCGTGCGCGGGCCCGGCGCAGCCCGACGCAACCGTAACGTTTCTGTTGTTGGCGTGTACTTTGATGCGGTTGGCGCTAGAACTGGAGGTATGTGTGGGACGTTCCCCGTATGGTAGGGGTGGTTGGGGTGAGTGGGCTGGCAGACGCCAGGTTTTTTGTCAGTCGTCCCCGACCAGCGTAGTCATCACACTCAAGCGTAATTTTGCCAGTGTAGTTTTGTCTGTATGTTGATGCTCACATGCTTGTACTGTTAATCAACGTACAGGCAATCTGCTTGTTATCCGATATGTCGGACTGCGTCCGTGCAGAACATGCCGAGGTCATCAGCCCGTCCTGCGTGTCATCACTGGTTACCACCAATGACCCCAGCTTCCTTCCCGTCGTTCGCACTCGTTTCATCAATGCATAATCTCGTGGCATCACAGAGAAATGCATGTTAGTGAACAGCCGGAGTCCAGGAAAAGTTAAAATATGAAATTTGTCCTCACTTTACCGCGCAACAGTTTCCGTAACCAAGCAGCCTTCCGAATACATTGCACCGCCGTTTCTGTATATATTTAGGTTGTTTGTGACCCCTTGGGCAGCGTGCCTGACCCTGCCCTGACCCGGCCGCAGACGACGTGGAGTTCACCGAGCGCGTCAACATCTCCCGCACCTTCAAGGAGACGGTGGTGCAGCCCATCCTGAAGCGACACTTCCTGCGGGACGAGTTTCTCGGTCGCATCAACGAGATCGTGTACTTCCTGCCGTTCTCGCGGCCCGAGCTGCGTCTGCTGGTGGCGCGAGAGCTCCAGCTCTGGGCTGACCGGGTGGGTGGTGACGGACGGCGCCACCGCGAACGGCGCTCGCGGCCGCGCGGCAGGCGTGCCGTGGCTGTGTTCGCACGTGCACGGTGGAAGGAAGCGCGTGCTCACGGTGCTGTGTGTTGCCGCTAAGGCAGTTCACTCACCCCACGGCGTGATATGATACGGTGCCTTCAAGAGTATGGGGCTGGTCACAGCGCGTCCTGGCATATATGGGAGCCACATCAGGACACTTAACGGAGAGGTATTGGGGACAGTAGTTACGGCTTGGTCACTGGTAGCGCGTTTCACTCCCGTCGGATCGTCGCTAACGCTCCGCCGGCGTCCCGTTTCAGGCGAAGGAGAAGCACAACATCGAGTTGAAGTGGGACCGTCGCGTGCTGGACGTGCTCGTGGACGGCTACAACGTGTACTACGGCGCCCGCTCCATCAAGCATGAGGTGGAGCGGCAGGTGAGGCGCTGGTCGGCACAGGATGGAACGCCGGCCAGTGCCCGGCGTTCCAAGTCAGGTTCTGCTTCCATGACCTCCCCGGTCGCCCGCCGCTGGTTCTATTTTGTCCATTTGTTCCATACGTGTGCTATTTGCTTGAATTTAGGGGGAGACCTTGTGATGTACTTTGCATCGACCGGCATCCCGTACAGTGTGTGTTTTGCTATGGTCTCCCATTTTTTGTGTGTCCAAAATCGTGGGTGGTTATTTATTCTTTAGTCTCATGAATAGCGCCCGAAGGTAACCATTGCTGAGGACAAAGAGATAAAATGATAAAGATAAAGATGATTTCGGTCCCAGGAGTAGCGCCTTTAGTACTACGCTGTGCTCCTGCTGTGCGTCGCATGATGTGTCGGTGTTCGCGTTCTCACTGTCCCTATCGTACTTCGTCTGCCAGATATGTGTCATTTCCCTGTGTTCCTTAGCCTGTTGTGTCTGATCTGTTCCATTGTGTTCCAATGTATCTTTGGCTGTGGTTCTGATGACCTGCGTCTCCCTTTTCGCCGCGTTCATGCCTCACGTCTGCCATGTCTCTTATTTATTTCCTTCCCATCTTCTTATCTTCCGTGTGGATACTGCTCCTCTGTGCCCGCCCCCTCCCCCTCCCCCTTTAGCACCATGTTTGTCTGCCGGGTTTCCTGTTCTCGCGTACCCCGCCCTCAATACCCCACCTGTCATGTGTATGCTGCTCCCTGTGTTCCATAGCGCGCCTGCCGTGTGTCTTCCGCCCTTGTAGTCCGCCTCCAACACCCCACGTGATGGTGACGCGGCGGCGCTGGCCGGCCGGGCAGGTAGTGAACCAGCTGGCGGCGGCCCACGAGCTGCAGCAGCTGCGGCCCGGCTGCGCCGTGTTCGTCACCGTCACGGACGACACAGCACAACCGGGCGCGCGCGGCGTCAAGATCCAGCTGGGCCATGGCGGCGCCTCCGACCTGGAGGATTTCGTCTCTCCGCTGAGCTGAGCCGACGCAGCGGACGTCGCCGGGCTGGGAGCTGTTCAAGCGGGAGACGGCACTGAGGGGATCGCGGTTCTTGCGGCGTCACGGACACCAGCTTTCCCGGGCGACGTCACTTGACTCGAGGTCGCGCAGATGGTACGTGGTCCAGGTTTCGTGCCGTGGTGGCGGTTCTGTAGGACGCCGGCGGCCGTTCCCAGGTGTGATCGGGCAGGCGCAGGCCCCATTGTTAGTGCTGTGACGGAGGCTGGATAGTGGTGCAGTGGTGATCCGCAGCCTTGTCCGCCTGCCGGTAGTGCCTGCCGAGGGCGGCACGACCCCGGTAGTTGGTGCCAAACGCTACAGACTGTGCTTGCTTGCATGAGTGATGTGCTCGCATTCCACTGTGCTAGTCTGCCCGGGTGGCGTTTTCATTGTTTTGACAGATTGCCTGTTTAAGGTAATAGAGCTGTGGCATTATTTCATGTCTCCATTTCGTTATTTTCTAGTGACTCCCTTCGCAGTATTTTGGTTGAGCCAGCGATGCAAGTCGATATTAATACATGATTGAATCGGGACTCCTGACATTGCCTGTTAGCCTGCGCCTGGCTGGGGTCTGAGATAACCGCGTCCGGCCGGGAGAAGTCAGCTTCCTCCTGGGATTTCCAACTCCCAGATGTCGTATGAGAAAAACAATGACACCGTTGTGAAGGTCTCATGAGTGCATTAACAACGCACGGCAAATTTTTGACCTTAGGTCAAATGTCAATCACCAGGTTATGGGTTGCGATAGGCCAAAAACGATTGTTCTGATAAATGCAGCTGAAATCTATGCTAACGCGTCCAGCCGGATATTGAGGGAACTGAAAGAAATATTAGGACTAAGAGGGAGTCTATTAAGAGGATCCCATTCCGACTATTTCTGTTTCTACATAAGGGTCAGGTCAAATCAGGTTACGATACAAAGTCGATTAACCAGAAACCTACAAGAGTGATGCTTCTCACAATGTGCTTCTAAGTGTATTTTATTAGACGCAGCTGCGGTGCAGGGGTATTCTAGACACAAACAATTCAAGTTAGACTGACCTAGAAGGCATCTTGGGTCAAATTCGTCAAATTTACAAACCATTAAAATGACGAATTTGAAATGCTAACCGGGCCTATGTAACCAGTACAATGTTTCTCTGTCGTCAGAAATAGTGCGTTGTATATCTACAGGTACTCAGGATCGCATAGCTGTTGTCTCCATCACACGTGATCCATCCGACAATCGGCAATGTGTTTGTAATAAACTGAGAGCGGGCACGCTGATGCATGAACTTGTACTCATCAGCTTCATAAACATGATAAGGAGGTGGTTATGCGCATCACACTCATCCATCTAGCCTCTCCACTACTGGCAGTAGGGTCATTGACCTTGGGTGACATCATATTATCTTGCATGTTTTCACGTAACCCATTGTGGCCCCACTACGCATTAGGATGATATCGCATGCTTTTAGTGGAGTATTTGAATTCTGTGTGCAAAACCCAGTGAAAAATTGCCTGTTTTGAGTCCACCAAGTGTTTTACTGGAGGAACCCGTAGAGGTATGTCATGACCTGGGTAAAGGCCATGTGATCGGCGGTCCAATGATGGTTTTTCATATGGCTCTTTACCTCATATGCAAACACTACAACTACCTAAAAACGCGTACAAATTTGCACTATCTACAAAAATTCAGAACGATTTACCTGACTTTAGAATAATGACCCAGCCTTTTCGAAAAATCTGAAATAAACAACATGTAGATTCGATCATGTTCTACGACTATAGCAAGTTTGAACAATGTCAAGTGACCCGCAAACAATTATATGTTGTCACATTTTTTAGAGGCTGGCCTCTTTGGCACTACCCAGGTCACTAATCTTTGTACAACAAAACTTCAGAATCGCATACAGGATGCCAAATCGATAAATGGACAGGTGCTAAAATTTCAAGTTGCTGCAAGCGTTTGTAGTTTGTACCTGTGCCCAAAATATCGTCAGGAGGAAAGTCAACTTCCCGCTCCCCGCCGGACGCGGGTTAAAAGCCATAATCCCCTTTTCTGAACGTCTCGCAATTACGCCGTGACGATTTCAAGCTAATAGAAACGGTTTTCTTGCGCCAGCCGTATGTGCCAAACGCCGACGCTACGCAATACATGCTCTATTTTGACAGACCGCCAACATGTATCATTTCCACACTTGTGTACACCTCAGTCGCCAGAGGCTTACACGTGCCACACATAGGAAATCCATGCTAGCATCCGTAGCACCCGACAGCAGCATACCTAAAGGTTGCAAAGTGCACGTGTCGCCAGTGCCAGGGGCGGATCCATGATTTCGTCAATGGGGGCACACAACATTGTAGGGCCCCCTGGAGTTTGGGGCCCCTCCAAAAATATTATTGCATTTCGGTCATTACATTTTAAGACAAGTTGTATGTAACACGTATAGACCAAGAAATATATATATATATATATATATATATATATATATATATATAGGTACGTATACATGCATGCATGTGTTTACTTGTTAATTTATTTCATAAATACGGGAACCCATCTTGCTGTGCACGGCCTTATAAAGCTAGGCGTGCTACGGCTACATACACATAGAACTCACTCACTTTGTACAGATCATGTTAAATGCTGTGATTTTGAGGCTAAGTGTTTCGGCAAACAACAGGCAAAATGAACTTTAACTAGCTGCTAACAACCATCAAAACCAAGCATGAACTTGATTCCTAGCTTATGTCTGTACGGTTATGCGGCTGGGCGATATCATCAGTTGATGGCTGATGACTAGTGCATAATTTTTCCTCTGTTATAAAGGAGTACAACATACGCTAGCATTCGTAATATGTTAAGAACGCGATGCACTAGCATAATAAGTGTCAGACACTCAATAGCTAATGAAAATGATACACACGACGATGGCCGTACGTAAAATTACGTTAGACAATTGCGCGTAAGAATTCATCGGCACATATTCGACCGCTGCTCTGAGGCGAAGGCGCCAAGACCAATAGAGACGAAACTTGAGCAATCATGGGTGCCGCAGGAGGCCAACAAAGGGCTCCCGTCGACAAGCACAGGGTCCGCAGAGCGAGCAAAAAGAACCCAAGGCCAACGTGGTGGGCCTCTAAGCGATCGATAGTAACTTGGCAGTTTGACACATAAAGTCCCGGCCAGAGCACAGAACCCTCCGAGCAAAGGGAATTATCCAAGACCATGAAGGCCCTCCAAGCAAGAAGGAAGAGACCGAGGCTTAAATGAAGAGCCCCTGAGCAACTGAGTGTACCCTGGCATATGGGGCCTGGAAAAGATGTAAAGAGGCTTTCGGGCGAATGGGAAGAATCCGCGGAGGAAAACCTGATCGATCAACAGTGCTCAGACATGCAGGCAGATAGCGTCCCAACAGCACATTGGGTCCTACGAGAAAATGCAAAGAGATCAAGGGCAACGTGGAAAGCTCCTTAGCGATCATATTGACCCGGCAAGCGGACATATAGGGCCAGGAAACCAACAGCGCGATGGCTCTAGACAGCGTAATGAGCTCCAAAATTTCCCACAAGCAACACTTTCTTAATAAACAAAAAAATGAACTTGGTCTTCTTATGAACTCTTTACTTTTGCTAATAGTTGTTCTTGGCCGCCTGCGGGCCCAAAGGCTTCCGGTTTTGTTGTAAGAAATTTGTGTCCGTCCAGCCGGTTATGGGCCCCTTCGGAGCCTTAAGGCTCCCTCGGCATGGTCCATGAAGCATGACTCTGGGTTTCCGCTCTCCCCCCCCTTCGAATCCGCCACTGGTCTGAGCAGCTTAATGGATGGGGCCCGCCAAGAACATAGGGTCATCCATTCAGAAAAGAAATGTTCACGACACAATATGTAGGGCTCTTGAACAATCGAGTGGGCCCGAGCAGGTTAACATATAGGGGCCCCCACCAAGAGCGTCGGGCCCTCCACTCAAATAGGACGCACCGAAGACCCAATGTAGAGGGTCCCCGAATGATCCGGTGCGTCAGAGCAGGTTCACACATAGGGCCCCCGTAGGAGCGTAGTGCCCTTCATTCAAATGGGAAGTACCAAAAACCCAAGGAAAAGTGCCCCGAATGATCGAGTATGCCGAGCAGGTTAACAAATAGGACTCTCAACAAGAACGTAGGGCCCTCCATTCGAATGGGAAGCACCGAAGACCATATGTGAATGCCCCCAGAATGATAGAATGTGCCCGAGTAGCTTATCAGAAGGGGTCCAAGAACGCGGCCCATTCAAATAAGAAGTACCCAAAGCCCAGGGTGAAGGGCCCCCGAGGGATGTAGTATGTCGGCGCGGATTATCACGAGGCCCAAACAGGAGTGCAGGGCCCTAAATCCAAACACCAACACCCAATATGCAGGACCCCCGGACAATTCGGTATGGCCGAAGCGGCGAACAGATGGGGGTCCCCGACAAGTACGTAGGGCCCTCCATTCCGATAGGAAATGCCCAAGACACTATGTGGAAGGCCCCGGATATTCGAGTGGCCCCGAGCAGGTTAACAGATGGGGCCCCGGCAAAAGCGTAAGGCCTTCCGTTCAAATATAAACTACCCACAACACGATGTAGACGGTCCCGAATAATCAAGTGCATCAGAGCAGGTTAACAAATAGGGCCCCCGAAAAGCGCGGAGGGTCCTCCATTCAAAAAAGAAGTACCCAAAACCACATATAGAGGCCCCCACGATGTAATGGGCCCGAGCACCTTGTCAGAAGAGCCCGGACAGGAGCGTAAGGGCCTCCATTCAAAATAAGAAGTACCCAAAACCCGGTGCGGAGGGCCCCCGAAAGATGGAGTGTACCCGAACAGGTTATCAGATCACCCCGATAGGAGCAGAGGGCTCTAAATTCAAACACCAAGAACCAATATGCAGATCCCCCCCCCCCCCCCAACAATCCAGTGTGGCCGAGGAGGCGAACAGAGGGAGCCCCCGACAAGTGCGTAGGGCCCTATTCAAATAGCACGTACCCAAGGCCCAATGCAGAGGGCCCCCGAACGATTGAATGTGCCCGAGCATGTTATCAGATAGGCCCTCCTCGAAAGCCTAGGGCCCCATTAAGAAAAGAAGTGCCCAAGACCCAGTGTCAAGGGACCCCGAACGACTAGTGTGCCCATGCAGGCCATCAGATGGCTCCCGACAAGAGTGCGGGGCCCTAAGCAAGTGACAGAGAATTGGAAGCGCACTAGACCAATGAAGAGGGCCCATGAGCATATCGCAAGTGTGTCGGTAGGCCCACTGAGATCCACGTAAAACCCCTGAGCAATCGAGAATACCCCGGCAGGTTAAGATATGGGACTCTGACTATAGCCCACAGAACCTTTCTGGCGAATGGAAAGAACACGTGGAAGGGCCCGTGATTGGCGAGAGTGCCCCGGCACGCTAGCAGGAAGGGCCCCAACAACAGCGCAGGGCCCCCACCCCCAGCAAATGCAAAGAAATAAAAGGCAACGTGGAATGCTCCTTAACTACCGAAATGATCCTGCAAGTGGGCATATTGGTCTCCCAGAAGCAGCAGGGCCCCTAGACAGTGTAATGAGGCTTAAAATTTCCAGTTTACAACTTTTCCAATCATCGAATAATCTGTTTGACTTCTTATAGGCCCCTCACTTTTGCTTAGAACTGTTCTTGGTCGTCTGGAATTCTACAGATATTTAGTTTTGTTGCATTGTTTGTTAGCAACAACACCCAGCAACATGCTTACAATTGCGTGTGAAGGGTGCGGCAGCCTGCGCTTGATCGTACTGCGTAGGGATATGAGCTGGCAATGAAACGTGTTTGTCGGCAGAAGGAACCCATTTGACATGGTTAACCTGACTGCACATCGTCCAGTGCTTGCGTGTCGCCATCGGCGGCCATTTGTAAAGATACGACAGTCGATTCACAACACGTGCGCGCCAGCTGCGAGGGTGAGCACACATCACTGTGGTGTGACTATCAGCCGGCAATTTAGATCAGTCGCTGGCCGACATGACCTCTTTTGTTCATATGACACCCAGACAGCGCATTAGTTAATGCAGCCGGCCGTTGATATCATGATGGCCAACATGCGGACGTCCGGAGAAAATATTTATAATCGCGCGTCAGGTGTGCGACTGTGTGCATTTGATTATACTTACCTAGAGCCATGGGCTGGCATTGCAACATTGTATCTGTTTGCCCCACTGAACTTGCATCACTCAATTATGGCGAGCCGGCAATAGCAGGTGGGTGAATGTAAGTGTAGGCGCTCTAACCAACTGACCTGATGGGAGTAGCCACGTAAGGGAAGGAAAGGGAAATATCGCAGGTGCACCTTGCGTCTTTGCCTCTTGAGTGCGTCAGTGATATTTTTCTATGCTTTTGCTTAGGCCATATGGTTCTGGCCAAGGCGCCGCACTTCACCTACATTGGCCCCATATGTTAAATAAAATATCAGTGTGTGGTAAACTTATCGTATATGATATCAATCACGTGGTTAAATGTGATTATACCTGGTATAATTATCAATATAAAAATAGGTAACGTGTTCTTGCCATACATTGCTATTATTCATTCTGCATACGTTCTTTTGTTTTCCGAAGATACAAATGCTGTTTCCTCAAATATTGAAGCGTGCCCGAAAAATATCTGATGCTTCGCTTGCATTCCCTCCCATTTCCTCGTTGTTTCCAACAGTCCTTTAGGTTCGCGCGCCTACTCCCTCAAGCTTCACCGCGCAGGTTCCGACCATGGACCACGTGCGCTCCCATTTGTGCTGACCTGCAGTTTCGTCTTGCATGCGTTTTTTCTTAATCTGGGATAGGTACAGCGCCTTGGAAGACAAACCTTTCGGGGTGCCCTGAGGCGACGCTTGGCCCTGAGTTTTGCTCTCGCGGCCGTTTGCTCCGCCCTGATTGGCTCAAGCTCGGGCTCCAAGCGCTCTGCCTGGCCCTTCCTGGCCGTCCCCTGGCGGTCCCCCCCCCCCCCTCCCGTGCGGCGTGAAGCGTGAGCGGTCTGGGACGACGCTCTGCTTGATGGGCCGCTCGTCGGTGTTCTCCGGGAGTTTCGTTACCTTACGACCTTGCTTTCGACTGGATTCGCGCTTTTCACGTAAGATGGTGTTCCAAAAGGGCCAACTATTTCACTTCTGCCCAGACGCCTTGCCCCTTAATTGTCTTGTTTTGGATATGCTTTTTGCACGGGCACTTACACTTCAGACGTAATCTCAAAGAGGCATTTGTTTTTCTCCAACGCAGACGTTTTTGTCATTGTCAATATTGTTTTCGATATTCTCTCAGCCCTTTTGACATAATGTATTGCTCCAAAGGGCTTTGAGCTTCTCTACCGGCAGGGCCTGTATGCGCGCGCGTTTTGCCCGGTCTACAAACCCGTCGCATGACCTCTAGGCAGCGTCTCAGTTGCCATGCAGGATAGGAATTGTATTGTTGAGTTGGAATGCAGTGGGAAAGATGCTAACAAAAGCACACACATGCACACACAATTCTAGCAAAAAATGGAAGTTACACAACACACATGTCTCAATTATTTGGGCTTATATTAGTTGACGTTCAGGTAGAAGATGACAAAAATAAGTGTAAAGAAATCATGACTTTGATGATGCGTGACAAGAGTCGCGCACCTCATGCACTCAGCGACCCCTGGGGTCCCTCGCTGCCGTGTGGACCCCATGGGGTACGTCGGATCTCATGGTGGCCCGGCGCGACACTTCCACAGACAGGTAATGGCGGCCGCCGTGATACAAATTCGAGCAGCATGCCACGCGTGATGGGGCGGTCGCCGCCTGGGCGTGAGGTGGGGTGGTACAGAGCCGATGAGTGCTCTAGACCAGAGGCGCGGATCGGAACAGCTGAAGACACGTCCCCTGCTGACGCTTTCTGTCTATTTATCTGACTAGGCAGCAATTGCTGGGAAGATAGGCGCATGACTATCGTTGTGCACTTCGATGGATGGGCATGCAACCGATGTCAGTAAAAGCAGCTTGGGACATGGGAGGGTTTGTTCGCCAGTCAGTATGACGCCTTTTTTGTACTTTTCACTTCTTGTTAGATCAGACGCATCCGACTTGACCCGCTACACCTTTTTCCTCTAAATCCCTCTGAATAGCCTCAAAATTGCGATTTGAAGTAGCCGCTCCTGCAGGAGATATCTTAGTCGTGCCCCTGCTCGCCACTATGATAGTAATGCATTTCCTTTATCTCGCTTTTTCTAACGTGTGCTCTGTAATGTTTGCAGCACACCAATTTGTAAAAATGCTGGTGCAATAAATGCTACGAAAGCTTGAAGAACTCTTCATAGAAAAAAGTTTTGCAAACATGAGGCCTTTATCCAGCGAATTCAACGAAAGGTTATCCTATGGGTTTCATTTTTCCATATGACGTTAATTGCAGTGTCTCTTTTCGAAGCGCACTTTGGCTTTGTGAAACCATATATCACACAGTCTATAGTGGCGCACTGGTCCAAACTTCAGCCAAAATGCGCTTATCTGTAACCGGCCCTTTCCGCCCGCTGTGTCAATCACGACCGCTCATTTGTAATGGCATCATCTGTACCAGTAGAGGTGCCACTTTTAAGCCCACAGGCCCACAATGTACCGGTTAAAACAACTGAAAAGTGGTACGTCTAGGCTGTAGCATCTGACAACTGCATCAAGCAGATCTTGCCGTCGTCATGACAACGGCGGTCGCGACAGCTGCTGTTTGTCGCGGATCTGGAATGCATTTGAGGGTTACCAAGAAACAGGGAAGTGTAATGCTGTTTCCAAGTGTCGAGAGCGTACCTTGAATTAAAAAAAAATGATTGCAATTTATATCCTTATTACATCTTGATGGCACTGCAGTAGCACTACTGAGCCTTGTTTTTAGACGTAAATGATCTGAGGTTTGACCATAAAATGTTTTTTTTTGAAATATGCCCCAAAGGTAGGCCACTTCCTTTAGGACCCTTTACATGCGTTAACGATCATCAGGTTTGTTACCAACGTGCTGATGCAGGCGTTAATGCGCAGCTGTCCTGCACGGTCACAATGTGCTGGTGGCGCACCTTTGGATGCAAGGCATGGTTAGCGGGTTAATGGCAGACGCAGAAAAAAATCGGTTTTTCACTCCCCTCGGCAGGCAGGTCGGCGGCCATGACCCTCCGTCGAAGAAGGAGCGAGCCAACTTGGGCAGGTGTGGCTGTGTGTGTGGATGCGCTGGCAAGGTTACTGCTCACGTAGGGCACACTTAATATTATTAATATCCAGTCGTATGCCCTTACTGAATGTAAGCCGTCATAGCCCATGGCAAACCATGTCATGCATGTGCGATGCTTTATTTTGTGAGTGCATATATTTCCAACAACAAAGAGTAATGGCATTCTGATAATCACACGACCTAAGTAGCTGTCTCCGAAAAGTTTTCACCAATTTGCCATGTGTGCGAATCAGCGGGCGATAAACGCAGCTGCTCAACAGACCGTTCGGAGCCTAGAACACGCGCATACACATTGAAGCCATCTTCGTTGGAAAGGGGTTTGTGTTTTCAGACAGGGTACGAAATCAAATTGATATTTGTCATTCCGGATTATAGTGGCCAATGCATCGCATACAATTCTCAAAAGATGTTTCCGTTAGAGGCCATTACATGTTACATTCACCAAACACGGGACTCCGGCAGAGGAAACAGAGCCCCAAAATCTGTGCAATATTACCCCATCAACTGCTGTTTCATAGGTTAAATTTTCAGTTACTCGCGATGCGTTCTATTTTTCAGCAAAATTAATACCTTAGAACTGCAGGATATCTTAGCATAGAGAAGGTGGTTCGCCATAGACGGCATATGATATGCGGTGGTGAACTGTGCTCTTCAACGAATTTGCTTCCAACAAACTTCCGACTAGAATCTCAATACAAAACAACACAATCGGCCGTTCTGAGGACTATAATGTATGTGCACCCACTGCTGAAAATTTGCTTTCAGTGATAACCTGATGACCCAAGCGCAAATGAAAGGACGGAGGTATTCATTGGCCGTGTTCACGATGACCTCCCTAAAGTACCTCACTAAGTAAAATTGTCGGAGCCACAAGTCAGACGCAGCAGAACCACACCTTGTAGCGAAAGCCGTCAAAATCGTCGATTGATTTCACACTCGAACCACTTTGCTCTTCACAAGTTGGCTATCATGAACGGTACAAAAATTAACCGTCATGCCGTTCGTGGCACTATTTCCACAGTCCACTTAAATTCATTCGTTGGTGAATAATTAGCCAAAGGAATCTAAAACGGTCACTTCCAGCCAAAGAAAAAAATTGTGCATTTCCTCGCAGCATATGTTTCCTTAAGCAACATAGCTTTGCAATTCCGGCAAACCATGCAAAAAGGTACATAAGCGATGATATTTCGTTTTGATAACAATAACCTCTGCATTAGGTTCCAACTGCAGGACCAAATCATGATCATTTGCCTGATGCTTCCAAAAGGTATAAAAGAGGGAAAAGATGTCTCCAAAAGCAAATCGAGCGTACAGACCACCGGAGTCGAATCAAGAAGTCACCGCCCACAGTGCCGTCACGGTGTTATGATACAACTGAACTCTAGCTTAACGTCACAAAGTCTACATTCAGGGCTACGCTTTTTGGTGGCCTGATACGGCATACGCACTGGCCCGGCGCACAGGCGCACGCGTACAGGCACTCCGTCCACCGCTTCACACTCGCATCCAGCTTAGTGCCTTGGTCGGTCCTTCGGGTATTCTAGATGTCCGCGATCTGCTCCTGCTCCTCGGTCAGCTCCTCGGGCGGGACGTAATTCCTGCGCGCGCCGGCCGGAGCTGTCGCAGCCCCAGCGGACCCCTCCGCAAGCCGCTCCTTGCTGTTCTTGTCCGACTGCCGAATGGGGGGGGGGGAGGGAAGGTCAGCTCAGAACGCCGCAGGGACAGCCCGAGTGATGCCATCAGTGCGGGCTGGACGAGACTCAAGGATAACGTGTGGGACAGCAGTTTTGACATGGAAACATCGGGTTACTGGGACATAAGTCGGCATGGACATGACTTTGGTGTGTATTGGGACGCCCGCAATGCGAAGCGAAGAAAAGCAACTCGAGTTCGAGCATGCCCCCAGCAAAGTCATAGTCGTTATTCAGTTCGGCATCAGATGGGCAGCACAACATGACGATACCAGAATTGTCCTCACCGCAATTGTCTTTTTCAGCCACGACTTATTGTCCAAGTCCATCTTCCCAGCGAAATAGAAGTCGTTGACGTAGTTGAGTAGTTGATCAACTTTCTCTGGGAACTGCTGTGACGGATCTTGTTTCTGGAAATTTCAAAACGTTCATATCGATCACTCAGCGTGTGGGACTTGGAGTATGATGGTTCTTTGCTCTAAAGTTAAAAAAACGCCGCCAGGTTTGTGAACTCGCCGATCGTTATTCTCAAATGTTATCACCCTGGCGTCGTCACGAGATTCCTGTGATTCATAAGTCGCAGCCAAACCGGTTGCACACGTCCTCAGCATCAGCAAGCGCTCTTGACGCAGAGAAGACCCAAGCGGTGTCGCCTACCCGCTCGTCTTCGTCCGTGGGAGCCAGAGGCCCGACCGAGTTCAGCTTGGGCTGGCCAATGCCGGTGAGCATCTTCAGGCGGTTCACCAAAAAGTCGATCACCTCGTACTCATTGCTCTGCTTCATCAGGTCCAATTTGACCTGAAGAACCGAAACGCCGGTGCATGGTGTCATTGGCAGGAGGGGAAGAGGAAACATCGCGAAATAACAAATGCTGTTGTAGACAACATGAGTGATGACAAGGCATGCAATTAAATATTCTATTCATCGTCCAGAATAGCACCGAGGCGAATGCTGAAATCTCACAAGTCCTCCACTGCGTAGCTCACCGCCTGGAAGCTCCTGATGATGATGGTCAGGAAGATGTTGATGAAGACGCAGGTCATAGAAATGGTAAATATGAAGAACATGATCGGTCCAAGAATAGCGTTTGCATGCTGTATCTCTCTGAAGTGGAAACGACCTGAAATGCAAGATAACGGTGAAAGACGTTTGTTTTTCACATGTTAGCATTTTGCCATTGTTCCAATCCACGTCAAAAACCTCAACTGCGACTTTCACCGGCACAGTGAGAAACACAACATTCCACCCTCAAACTCGTTACCTAGCATCATTGCGAAGGAGGACTCGATACTGATGACGAAGTTTGAGAAGTCTTCCATGGCGTAGCCAAACAGCAGGAAGAAGGTGAAGCTGAAGGAACAGAATATCTGGGGACAGCAAGGAACGATTGTTGAGAGTGTCAACGAGGCTTCGCGCCCAAGGCACAAACAACATAATGGCATACATCTGCTGCGGCCAAATCAATGGTGCTCCTTGGACTGTCTGCGACTATAGTACTTAGCACTGCGCTATATAATCGTTTTACCAATCCAAGCACTTTGCTTGTCACTGATCCTCAGCCACTCACTACTAATGGCCTGACAGGCTGCGGGCCAGGAAAACAGCTTGTCCTCTACAGCGTTTCCGTGGCGTCAGTCCAGCTCAGCTGTCTGGTAGGGCTGTTCAGCATGCTCTCAAAGGTGACTACTGCTTTCTGTCGCTTTCAATAACGTTACAGGTAGATAATAAGAGTTATTGAACGGATTGATAGAGCACGGCTGAATCATGCACTGCTGCATGCTTACCACGAGGAATATCACAATGAATCCCCACAGGTCTCCAGCGCACTGCTTCAGAGTGGACGTCAGGAATCCCATTCGCTTGTTGAACCTCAGGAGCTTGATGAACTTGAGTGTCCCAAAGAAGACCAGGAAGCCAATCATGTAGCCGAATACCTGAAACGCGCGCACGCTTCAGACTACCGCATTATACACTAGGTATTCTGCACTACGCTTCCATGACGAGGTGTTGCTTTCATGACTAGATGTGAGGTATTGCTACTGTCTAGAAATGATCTCGCACGCAACATAGAGGCATAAATGGGAAGCTGATTAGAAGTGATACACGGAAGACAACGGTCTGTTTACATTGCTTCACGCTTAAACTACATCTAGCCGGACCGGGATGGTGCTCTACAGCATGGGACCGGGCGATGGCGCTCCAGCGACTGTTATACAGCGCGGCTTCCTGTGGCGCTTTCACCAGAGCACGAGGCATCGCTACAGCTTTACTCTCGGTTTAAAGACACTTGTCACGGACTTTCGTAGATTTATTAACACCTACCTCGTCAAGGTAGGTAACATATTGTAGCTTGATGTAGCCTCTTCCTCGTGTTTTCTTGTAGGTATCGACGATTTTGCTCGCCAGAAACATTCTGTGAAGGATAACAATGGCGATGTAAATATTCTTCTGCAGATGGTTAAGACTACTGACGCCCACGACATCCCACTCCGCGGGCGGCTCTGAACCGGCAACACTCTTAGAAGTGTTCGGCCAAACGACTGCGAGCATTTGAAGGCGCTGTGAAAGACATCGAGTCGTTATTAAAGGCTGGTGCGCACACTGGCACACGTGTCTACGTGTGACTAGGGTGTTATACAATGAGCCTCGCTACAGTGCATAGCGCTTGGGCTTGACCCTCTGGCTACATATACATATGTGCGTACCTGTACAGGTAGAATACAATAGCTGTGTAGCCCAGAACGATGACCCCCAGCTCCAGGTAGTTCCAAGGATCGCTCATGTACTGCTTCTTCTGCTTGCGGGCTCTCTTGGCTTCACGCACTGTATAGTATATTATAAAGCCCACGAAGGTCACCTGAGATGAAAAAAACATATCATTACATGGAATGATAAGTAAACAGACGTGAACACAACTTGATCGATGATACGAGTGGGTATATTTGGCCACTCTGAACATGAAAATGAGCATGTGTTACACCCTTATGTTTTTTCCGGTCAGTACAGTCTAATTCGGAAACAAATTGATCTGGAGTTTCACTAAACACCCAAGCGTTTGAATGCATGACGCCAAGCATCAGCATGCAGTAGGAGTTAAAGCTCGCACCGTAATGTAAGGCTGGTGAGTTGGTAAGTTTTGCTCGCACCGTAATGTAAGGCCTGATTACTGTCAGTCATATGGGTATGACAGATGTCATACGTTGAGCACTTCACGCGAAAACCAATTTGAGATCGTGCACAACATCGGCATGGGGTGTTTGACCCGAGGTGTATAAGATTTAAAGGCGGTTATCAGTTAGGTCAAAGGACGATTGAGTCTTGCATGACGTAAAGCAAAACTTCCAACTTCAGAGACCCAGCCGGCCGTCAGAATTTCTAAAGATGCTTTTGCAAGCACTAGCAGCAGGCTTATGCAGTTTCCGGTAACGTTGCTACAGTTTTCTTCCTGCACTTGTTAATCACGAACACACGTAGCACTTTTTAAACGCCAAAAGCCTAAGGAAGACGGAATTAAGCCGGGCCCTGATCGCAATGGCCAAGGATCGCAGCGAGACGAGATCAATAGATTCTGATAAAGAAAAAGACGATTTTCTTTGCAAAACTGTGGCCAATGTGTGCGGACGATCACGCGCTCTCTTGGCAAAACCGTGGCCGATGTGTGCGAGCGATCACGCGCTCTCTTGGCAAAACTGTGGCCGATGTGTGCGGATGATCACGCGCTATTTTGGCAAAACTGCGGTCGATGTGTGCGGACGATCACGCGCTCTCTTGGCAAAACTGTGGCCGATGTGTGCGGACGATCATGCGCTCTCTTGGCAAAACTGTGGCCGATGTGTGCGGACGATCACGCGCTCTCTTGGCAAAACTGCGGTCGGTGTGTGCGGACGATCATGCGCTCTCTTGGCAAAACTGTGGCCGATGTGTGCGGACGATCATGCGCTCTCTTGGCAAAACTGTGGCCGATGTGTGCGAGCGATCACGCGCTCTCTTGGCAAAACTGCGGTCGATGTGTGCGGACGATCACGCGCTCTCTTGGCAAAACTGTGGCCGATGTGTGCGGACGATCACGCGCTCTCTTGGCAAAACTGTGGCCGATGTGTGCGAGCGATCACGCGCTCTCTTGGCAAAACTGCGGCCGATGTGTGCGGACGATCATGCACTCTCTTGGCAAAACTGTGGCCGATGTGTGCGGACGATCATGCGCTTTCTTGGCAAAACTGTGGCCGATGTGTGCGAGCGATCACGCGCTCTCTTGGCAAAACTGTGGTGATGTGTGCGGACGATCATGCGCTCTCTTGGCAAAACTGTGGCCGATGTGTGCGGACGATCATGCGCTCTCTTGGCAAAACTGTGGCCGATGTGTGCGGACGATCACGCGCTCTCTTGGCAAAACTGTGGCCGATGTGTACGGACGATCACGCGCTATCTTGGCAAAACTGTGGCCGATGTGTGCGGACGATCATGCGCTCTCTTGGCAAAACTGTGGCCGATGTGTGCGGACGATCACGCGCTCTCTTGGCAAAACTGTGGCCGATGTGTGCGGACGATCACGCGCTCTCTTGGCAAAACTGTGGCCGATGTGTGCGGACGATCATGCGCTCTCTTGCGCAAGCGATGGATCGACTCGGTCTGAGGCGTTTTGAAGGTCTCGTGCCAGATCTCAGCGACCAGGCCACATAGCGACGTTAAAATAAGTACACTCTGTGTGCGGAATCACCGGCCACAGCTCTCTGGCATACCAAAAACTAATCCGACCCAGGGAAGCGTCAGTGATCGGCCGGAAAGCAGTCAATGGCGTCATTTCCGAGACCGATCACAAGTACAGGGCGCCGCGGCCTAAACCGATCTCAAGTACAAGGCGCTGCGGCCTAAGCCAAGAGAGACTGGACGATGGACGCCACACAGGCCTGCACTGCTGTGCCCGCCACAGATAGCTGCGCAGCTCGGTGCCCAGACTGGTGAGCTGACACCACCCGTAGGAACACTCACATCGCAGATGAGCACGAACAGACCGAAGCCAGAGTGGTAGTTGAGCAGGCGAACCGGCTCGAACTTGAAGAACGGCACGATACCGCCTACCGGAGGACCGTTGGACGGTTAACGTGCGCACATACCGCCTACCGGAGGACCGTTGGACGGTTAACGTGCGTACATACACCGACCTGTTCGTGCCGACCCTTCGCTCACCACGCTGCATGCTGTCCAACATCACTATCAACTAGTTTTTACACGACACAAGGGAAACATACGTGTTGTGGCAAGCTCAAACAGCACTGTCTACTTAAGGTAATAAGCGGTCGCCATATTGGCGAAGGCATCCGGTGAAACTTGAAAATGCATCAAACTATGGCGAAATGTCATCAACACAATCATCATTTGGCGCAGGTATGATGCCAAAAACATACGGCGTCAGTTATTGCTGAGTACGTTTGGAAAAATTTAGAACAACTTGCATGGATGTCTGTGGGTATGAAGACATGACCGTTGGGCCAGAATTCGTGCCAGGCTATTATATTTCATACGGCAGCGCGGCCGCATTCAGAAAAACGGCCTCGCCACCATGTTGAGGGCTTCTATAATCTATAGATATTTTCACTTGACGCTGCTTGGTTGACGGATGTAACATGGATACTAACTGAATGCTGCTTGGTTATTTTGGAGGCCGAGTAATGGAGCGGCACGCGGCATTTCTTAGCATTGGACCTCGCGGCACTCGCGCGAGTCGGGGTCTGTGCCATTGTGATGCATTTATTGGATCGAAAATGTTGCTAGTGAGTTGATGTGTCGTCAGGAAGATATTGCTAATCTAACGCATTTAGAAACGTCGTCGTTAAGTCGAATATTTGCTATTTAGGCGGTTTAGGAACTATCACCTCATTTCAGAGGCGCTAACGATGATGAGTGCGCAAGCTTATTTTGCCGAAGTTTCGTGCCAGACAACCCTTCCAACATGCTATGTAAACGTGGCAAATGTGCTTTTGAAACGTAAGTCATGAACCACAGTTGCCGTCAGTGCGACAAGCCCTTCACTGCAACACACAGGGCCCGTCACTTGTGCGGAGAAACAGGACCCTCACAGCGTCCGACGCCACGACAGGGGATGTCGGCGGCCGATGCTCACCGTCTGGACTGAGCTCAGCCACGATTGTGCAGCCGACGAACAGGTTGACCTGAGCGTTGAACAGCGAGAACTCGACAGAGACGGCCCGGGTGCGCTTGTCTATTCAGCCGTTGGACTGAAGCCGCCACATTTGCGCTGATCAGCCGCGCTCTGCTGCCCTTCGGTCCACGACGTACCTGCAGGCGGCAGAAGCGTCGGTCGCGTCACCGCGCGCCGGCGACGGTCGGGCGGCTGTGGCGACGTGGCGCGAGGCGCGGCGTCGTCACAGACGAGAAGCGGGTGGTGGATAGGTAAGGGATAAACTCCAGGAGGAAAGGAAAGAGAAAGAGGACGAGAAGGGAGAGAGAGACGAGAAGAAAGAGAGGGAATAGAAGAAGAGCGGAGAGAGAGAGAGAGAGAAGGGAAGAGAGAAGAGAGAGAGAGAGAGAGAGAGAGAGAGAGAGAGAGAGAGAGAGAGAGAGAGAGAGAGAGAGGAGAGAGAGAGAGAGAGAGAGAGAGAGAGAGAGAGAGAGAGAGAGAGAGAGAGGCAAAGAGGCGCCAAGGTCGGACTTGATTATACCACACGCCAACGCCAACATGAAGGGATGTTGACGCCTGCCCATCTGAGCAACTGACGCCCCTGCGAGGCTCGGGTCACCAACATTACGCCAGTTCACCGGTGTCGGGCGGTATACCGGGCGCGAGAGGACTGCGGTCGAACTGGGAAGGGTGCGTACTCACCCACCACCGCCGTACCAGCCCAAGTCGCCCCAGAACGGGTACGAGTCCAGGCTGGAGCTGGAGCGGTAGCGGTACTCTCCTTGAGGTTGAACGGTCGCCGGGTGGCCAGAGTCTCGTCCCAGCCCAGGCCGAAGTCACGCTTCTCCTCGTACAACAGCGACCCGAACTTGTGGCACTCCCGCGTGATGTTGCGCATCACCTTCGGCACGCGGCACGTGTCTGAAAATGAAATACACTTAGCAGGCGCGTAATAACACGTATGACACGCGCACAAATGCCGCTGCGCATCATCCACTTCAATTCAATAGTTATCTTATATCGCTTATTTCACGACTGAACATGACTATAACAAAAATATTTATGATGCTGATGAGATGGAGGACATATTTCCGTTTGTCTTCCGGAACGGTCGCGAAGGTCAAACCATTGCAATGAAATGGTCAAGTTTCGTATTGAATGAGACAGGACAGACAAAAATAATCGATTTCATGGTTCTCATTTAATGTTGGGGATGACGCCGGTTTTCAGTTTTGTTCCCACAAACATTCCCATTTCCGGGTGACATGTAATCTACTTCCAAGCAACAGCATTCCGCCCCAAAAAATCCAGAACACCCAAAAGGTCACCGTAATCTTTGCGCTTTGTCTCCGGCCATAACGCAATGGAATAAGACGTTGCGACGCCAAGGTACCGCGTCGTGCCTCTGTCCTATGCGTTGTGGTCAAAACTCTGCATACTTAGTACAAAGCGCAAAGTAAAGGTGAAAAGGGAAGCAACGGAAAGACATAGATTGAGTCAGGAGAGCGTGCCACAGCTTTCAGCACATTTAACAACAATTTTCCGCCGTCCCATTACGCATTTCCTGCTTCTACAGAAACGTATTCGGTCGAACGGTAGAGCACTGAACTTTGGTCAGTTATGTGGGTAGCATAACCAAAGTTGATCTGAATTGCCAAATGGAAGAGGAGAGGAAGAGATGGAATGCCTGGTGTGTAGTATGCCACCCATTGCAGCATAAAACGGTGCGTGAGGACTAGCGGTGAGATACGCCGGGTGTATTCCAAGATACGTTCGTGGTGTTGATGTCTTGATGTTGAGTTATATGTGAGGACACGAATGTCAATGTCTTTGCCACGCTAGGTTATCAAGGTCACTCTCCGTCAAGGTTACGTCAGGTCAACGAGACCAGCCTCACACATACTCGGCAATACCCATTTCATTTTGCCATCTATACACATTTTGTGAGATAACTGTCGTCAAGACTTGGTCTCCAAACATAAAGAAACATAAGTTATATGTTTTAAATGGATGTTGGTGAAAACGCCAGTGAGGAAAAACCGATGTGGGGCTGTCCATAAATTACGTTATGTATGGAGCGAGAGGGTTCGTATGGAGCGTAATGGAAGCAACGCAGGGAGTGAGGAGATATATTCAGTTGTGATTGCAAATCATGGTTAAGTTTTCAAAATAGCCTTCACACATAAGCCAAATACAGTTGGCTCCCATTTATAACAAAGAATTCGTTTGCTGCTTGTTTCGCATCTCAGCTCAATTACGGACCACATGGCTGTTAACTTTTTGTGAAGTTACCTATAGCGAAGCGCAACCGAGGGTAAGGGCTTTTGCCTAGTATCACTGGTGCATAAGCAGGTCGGATGGAGAAATGTGAAGCAAATTAAAAATGTGTGGCTCGTGCAGAAAATTTCTACCACACTTGCGCATGCGCCATCTCTTCCGCGCGGCAGCCAGGCGTGCTTGGCTGTGGCGGGCGGGCGAGAGCCGCTTTTCGACCGAGTGTGGACGGCACTGCTTGCCCTACGGGTATACGATAGGGCTGCCTGGGTGCTGCATAGAAGGGGTGTTCCACATTTGTATTGGGCTTTGAACTAATATCGCCCTCTTGAAAACCATTCAGTGCAGCTCACAGCTCTGTCGTTAATACCGAAAACCCGCTAGTTTCTGAGCTACACTTCGGCAAAGATGTGCAAACTATTTCAAGGCCATTCAGGCATGCATGACGCCATAACAACGTCATTCAAATCATGCCACCCCATAGGCCATGCGGTGTTCAAGACCAGGAAGAATATTATCTCCAAGCCATTCAGATCTGGTGGCCGTGAGCCCGATTTGCAAAAACAGTGGAGGTCGATGGACTCTCAATCAATATTGAGCAGGTTTTGCTAGTTTCAATCAGAAATCTCGTTTTTGCTGCGTAGTATGAAAAATTGAAAATGATTCCTAGGCATTACGTAGGATTACAAAAATCAGACCTGTAATCGAAAATCTTAAAAATGGTGCTATAAACGAGCATGTAAATGCATGTATGTATCTTAAAATCACGGATGGATATATAAGAGCATCACGAAAAGGGCCAAAACACGAGCAGTCAACAATATTTGAATCCAAACACTCTCAGCACCGCCACTGTCATATCTCGGTGAGTTAAAGTACTACACGTGAGTGTTGGGCGGTTATTTCGCGCGGCTAGTTTGGCAGCGTTTCAAAATCATGCGAACGTTCCCTGACGCCATGAAACAATAACGCATTGGAGAGCATGTTTTCTGAATAGAGAAACGTGATTGTAGAGAGCACCCTTTTCCACTTGACTCCACTTTTTTACTAGCAACTCGGACTCTTCCAATTCCAATTCGCAGCATGACAGTCATCGTTGGCTCCATAGTGACCTCAGCTTAGCTCTCTGACTGCCGCAGATGGGAGGAAGAGTGACAGACCAATCTCTGACCGGGATACGTAGTTGGCTGAGGACCGTGGAGCCCGCGTGGACCCTTCTGAGCCGAAATGTCAGGCAGAGGAGGTCCAAGCAACAGCGAGTTGGGCTGCTGATCCCAGGCCGCCGACCCATCCACGTGGCGGAGGTGCAGAGAAAGGCTACAAGGCAAAGAACAAACTGAAAACTGAAAGATGACCCGCCAAGTGCAGCTAATGAACATGCAGATGCCTCTGTGACAAACTGCTCCGGTGCATACGCCGCCGGACAATAGCGAATCAGGCGGCGTGGCGACGGTGAATCGTAGTGTGTTGTGAGCCAGAGCGATGGGCCGCAGTAACGTCAGGCGCGTAGAACTCTGCACGCCGCTGCATGACGTGTGAACAGAAGAGGAGTCATGCGGTTGGGAAGTCATCAATCGCTGGCCAGAACAGGTATTGTTTAAAACTCAAAGCTTGAGTTATCGCTACGTAAACCGGGGTGCTATTTGGTTTCCGACCACCACCACAATAGCATTCATCCCCTAATGAATCTCCCGATATTCTGCCATGACCAACAATACATCTTGAAAAGCCCATGTGCCCTGAAGCAATATGGATTTGCCCCACGCCATGTGTTGTAAATGTCATCTACTGCGTCATTTGTGGCTGACTATGCCAAATTTTCGATCAATGGGGCCACGAGTGAGTGCAATGCTGCCATTAACCCCAAACTTGGCAATTCTTGACGCGTTTGAGCCGAGCTGACTGCGGCAAATAGATCTCCGGTAATACGATTTATATGTCCAAGAATTTGTGTTCAGCCACGGCCACTTTCCGCGCTCGATACTCCTATTCTTACAGTTCCCAAGTTCGGAAGTGTGAGGCTGGAAACCCTCCGTTAGTAAGCAGGGCCTGGAAACCCTCCGTTAGTAAGCAGGGCCTGGAAACCCTCCGTTAGTAAGCAGGGCCTGGATATTTCGGCTGCAGCCACAAAAGCTGTTTTCAGATAACCAGTAGCAACATGATTCGGTGTCCACAAAACATAAGTCACGCACATTTCCTAAGCAGCAGGAACGCAATCATTTGCAGATCGGAATCTATTTGTACTCACCAAAAACATGTGCACCATAGCGTCAGACCACTGTACTTACTCTTCTCACGAATGCGAACTTGTCGCATCACGCCGTTGCCCATCAGCAGATGGACTCGGTCTGTGATCAGGTTCTTCTCCTTTCTCTTGGGCTTCTCCCCGGCGTAGCCGGGTCCGATCTTAAGCTCGGGAATCATCACCGACCTCGTCCAGTTCCAGAAGCGAGTTTCGTTCCGCACCTTGAATACACAACGTGTCCTTGTAATATATGTTTACTCTACCCGCCGTCAGCAATGTTGTGGTGGCCAAACCTTTAAGGTGACACAAGTCCTTTTAGGTTGACTGCGTGCGAGGGTGCATTACAGCCGATTTCTTTATTCCGGGAGACGCGTAACACCATGTTCTTGGGAGGATGCTTTTGCGACTAAGAACATAAGATATGGAAGTTTGTGCTTTAGTCACTTTGAAATATGCGTAGCAGCAACAATCACCGTGAGCTGGAGAGAAATGACGCTCTCATTCCCCAGGTCTCGCTCAAATAGCATAGAGCAGCGCGTACTGAGTGGTCCGTGACCACACACAATGCGTGCTGATGGCGCATGCTACGATTCATGACACCGCAAGTTCCATTGGGGAATTCCATATTCCGAAGGCTATCAACTTGGCGATGAGGCTATGATTGCCCATGTCCTCATTTCCAGCCTAAACAGGAGTCAAATTGGCAGCCCACCTGGTCTCCAGAGGTACGAACGACCACTGCCGGGCGCTGCACTCACCGCGCTGAACGACAGCCACGGGTCGTTGGGCCGAAGGAAATTGTTTTTCGAGCGCCGCCCGGATGAGGAAGGCGTTGGGGGTCTCGCGAGCCGTAGCTGAGCACCAGCAAGATCCAGAGGAAGAAGGCGTAAGCGGCCATCTCCTGGATGATGTCCCACATCTTCACCTCCTTCTGCCGCTCTCGCTTGGCCGCCTCGATCTTCGCCGGGTCCACCGGTGTGTACTCCACCTTACGCTGCTGCTTCTTCTTGCCTGCGAGCGGCAGCCAGTCCGTTACGCCCGGAAAGTGCGCGGCAGGCTGGTAACGCCAGGAGAGAATACGCAGACGTTACAGGAAATGAAATGCAACGCGAGCGACGTACAAAAATGGTGGATTGACTTTCCGGAGTCTCCAAGCGCGACAGTGCCCTTTTCAAAGTTTCCTTTCCACTGAGAGCTGCAGTTTCAGTCGCAGCTAGTAAGTTAAGTTCACGAGCATGCAGCAGCAACGGCGGCGACCACCCGTCGCCGCCGGCGGAGAGCCCCCACATAACCCACGTGGCGCGTAGAGCCACTCCTCGTCGTTGAGCAGGGCCGGGTCCTCCTCGTCGTCATCGATGTCGTCATGGCCGTTGTCCAGCTTCTTGCAGATCGCCGACACCAGCAAGGCCGTCAGCATCACCTACCACCACGGCGCGGCCTTCGGTCAGGGGTGCTCGACATCACCACCCACCGACAAACAGTGGCGTTCGCGTGGGTGGATTCCACACAAGTGTGGCGTGCTCGCGCGCGTGAAGACACCACTGGGGTAGCCTTCGCGACGATCAGTGAAAAAAGGCCTCATCTGCTGTGCCCTACGGATACACGGTAACGTGGTGCCGCGCTGATGTCGCGAAAGCGGATCTCTATGCTATGCATGAACGGTGTTTGACATACAACCCCCTCACCTGCATGCACCACTCACATTAAGCAAAAAGACGACAGCCGCCTGTCGGTACGGATAAACAGCATCCGAGTACTCTGCGAGTTTTTATATCATCTATCGGAAATCATGGGACACACCTTAATAGGCTGGGTGAAGAGCACAGACGAGAAGAAGGAGATCATCAGGGAGGTGAGCCACTTGGTGGTCTTCTCGTTGCCAAAGGTAATGCCATAAGCCCAGAGGAAGAAAATGGAGGCGCCCATGCTGCCAAAGGTCAGGAGCCAACCGAAATACACGCACCACCTGGAAGGGGCCAGACATAAATGAATGACTCAGCGGCCCCGGCAACAACCATTGCACACCAGCACGACATATCGTATGTCTTATCGGCTTGCTTCACTTCTTCGCAGTGTATGTCAGTCTCTATGGTCAATAGAGTTGACAAGAACGACCTTAGGAGCACATAAAAGAGGAGGACAATTTTTAGAAACGTTCACCGCACCTAGGAATATAAATTTTACGTTGTCTATTCCTTCATGGGATTGATGCATCTTATCCTAAAAATTGAAAGCAAACATGTTGTCAATAGCGGCTGCAAGCGCGAAAACGTTGTAAAAGACTGTATCCATCGTCAATTTTGCGCATCTTTGGAAGGTGTTTTGGAAGTTGTCAAACACATCGCGCACTTCCCATGACAGCTGTCTTAATTTTTGGGGAGGAATCTCAGGGTCTTGCCTTGACAAACCGCCGTCTCCTCTCTCTCTCTCTTCCTCCTCTCTCACCTTCATCTCTCTCATCTCTCTCTCTCTCTCTCTCTCTCTCTCTCTCGTCTCTCTCTCTCTCTCTCTCTCTTCTCTCTCTCCTCTCTCTCTCTCTTCTCTCTCTCTTCTCTCTCTCTCTCTCTCTCTCTTCTCTCTCTCTCCTCTCTCTCTCTCTCTCTCTCTCTCTCTCTCGCTCTCTCTCTCTTCTCTCTCTCTCTCTCTCTCTCTCTCTCTCTCTCTCTCTATCTTCTCTCTCTCTCTTCTTCTCTCTCTCTCTCTCTCTCCTCTCTCTCTCTCTTCTCTCTCTCTCTCTTTTCAGCCGACCAAACCTCATCCCCTTAACCCCTTGAATCGCCCTAATGTCCCCAACCCAGTAACCAACGTTACGATCGGTATTTCCCACACTTCGCCCGGATGGTGGCCATGCTCCAGTCAAACGAAACATGAACCCCCACAGCAGGCATCTGTTTCGCGGCACAGGCTGCCCTTACCAGGGCAAGGAGAACGGCTTCTTCCTCTCGGGACGTTTTTCGGGGACGGTAGACTCCGCCAGGCTTTCGTCGTCACCGTCCCGGTCCGCGAGGTCGACAGCCCGAGGCGGTGCACTCTTGGGCGCGGCGGACTGTTCGTCCGCCTCCGGGAACTTGCCTTCCTTCCGCTGCCTCGCACCTGGATGGTGGAAATCTCAATCACGAGTCGACTCAGCCGAAGCTGCGCTGGGTGGTAACTCAACACTCATACTGGGAGTCAAAAAATGCGGTGATTGTCGAGGGCATCAGGTGCCAAGCCGAACTTATCACATTATAAGCTGACTTCCCCTTAGTAACAGCAGCAAATGCCCGTTCCATTCTGCTACGGAAATCACAAACGGAGCCGAGACTCATCATATCGCATGCAGCGTGTCAGCGTTGCTCTATTCTACGAAGTTCGGCATTCGCCTGTGGCGTGCTTGGTCACTCACGCTGCTCGGTCATGGCCTTCTCCACCCTGTTCTCCTTGAGGCGGCGTGGCCGCGACTTCCTGAAGAGCAGCACGATCAGGAAGGACGGCGGGAAGACGATGAGGTTGGCCATGACACCCACGCCGATCTGTTCGGGGCTGAAGGAGAAGGGGCCAAAAGCGATGGCGCTGGACCCAGGCTGGTCGGGCACCAGGCCGTACCACATGGCGTTCACCAGCATCGAGAGATAGAGCAGCGCCATGCAGGCGGAGACGCGCTGCCACACGTGTGAAGCGGCCTGCGCGGCGGCCCGCATGAACACTGAGAACCAGAGGTGGCCGTCCGACAGGTTCTTGCGCGATGTGGTGTTTGAAGAGGTGCTGGAACTCAAGCATCTGTTCTCGGCCGGCTACCGGCACAGACGGTCAATCTGAAACGATTGCCATGCCCGGGGATCAGCTGTCTCCACTAGTGCACGACAGCACACAGGACGTGATGCAGACGCTGTGATTCTTCTGTCGCTAGAGATAGGCCAACATGGACTTATCCCGAAGTTGGTCCAGACCGCCACGCAGCATGTGGTTTAGCTGATCTCGATAGTTGCACTGGTCAATCAGCTCCATGGCTATCTTGCTTCAGAGAGGAGCGCGAGCAGATTTTAAAGTCTGGCTTCGATAATTCACGAGAAACACGACAGCTCTTAAAGCCGTCAGCACTGGAACGCATACTTAATAACCTAGCAAACCAAGCCTGCCCTGACACACCAATCCAACAGAATCCCCGTCCGAAGTGCGTGCACCCCACCTGTCCATCGCCCTCCTCCACGGCGAACCACTTGTTGGCGATGAACTGCGACTTCTCGCGGTCTGCACGTCACGCACCACGAGGAAGTTGAGGTAAACAGGAGGCGGCGCCGCCCTTGCCCGAGTTGTCGTGCCAGATGCGCAGGTAGTTGAGCTGGCCGAGCGGCCCCGCGGCACGGCCATGACGAAGCTGTCCGTGCCGGAGCGGCGCAGGATGGGCCGCCCTGCGGGTTCGGCCAGGGTGCGCAGTCTGTCTCGTCCCGCTCGCCCGACAGGATGAACTGCACCTGCTGTCGCACTCCGAGTTCGTCTTGTTCCCGGTGATGATCAGGATCTCGTACAGGTACTGGCGGAGGCGGGGGGGGCGGTTGTGGTTTGTTGCCGCGGACTCGGGGCGGGTGAAGGAAAACGTCAGCGCGTACGGAAAACACCTAAACACGTACTTTTACCAAAGGAAACACGTACTTTTCGCAACATTTCTGGCGACTTAGCACCCCGTATGGCACGTAATAGATGGTGAGTTCTGTGATAACCTATTTCAACATGCTAACTTAAACGACCTATGAATCTGACACTACGAACAAAAATATACTGCGCAGCGAAACGCCCGTCAGCTTATAGCACGAATCATAAACAACTTTACCAGTATAGTCTTTAGCCATCAAGATCAAACACATATGGGAGATGTCAGCTGTAGGAATCGCTGGGCATATGAGCAGTGGCAGACCTTGTGATTGGGGTTGTTGTCCGGGAGTGGTGTGGCGCCGATCTTCTCCAGGTCCTTCTTGTCTTTCCACCGCGCCCAGAACATGAGCACCAGGTAGATAAAGAACGAGATGATGAGCGTCAGATATATTGACAGGTTGTCTTCAAAGCCTGGGAATGACATGCGCTGTCAGACTAACATACCGTAAAGCCTGTCGATTACCCAACGTCGGCAGGTTTCAACTTAACGTGCCCCTTCAACAACCCTGGCATTATTCAACCAAACGTGCATCCAGCAACACGCAGAAACTGGTCCGTCTGAACACGGACCGAGGGTTCGGAGCAGAGCGGATAGTATTTGACGCCCCTCTGTCCTCCACAGCGTGTTCCCGCCCGCAATGTGAACGCCTCAAGGTCACGTTGCCTACGCTCTCGCACGACTGCGGACCATATCATGTGATGACATCTGGATGGCTTTCATTAGCGAGTATATTACCCCGTGATGATCAGAACAATCACCAACCCCGCCTGGACGAGATAACTCCGAGGGATCTTTACGAAGCCTACCCACAAATCATTTCTGCTGAGAGACATGTTGTTTCGGGGGCGGCAAATTCCGACCCTACTCCGAATTTCCCCCCCAAAAAAATTCATTGACTGATCTTCGGCAGCACGTACCTTGCGTTGGCAAACACATATTCAAAGTCGATGGCGCGGTTCGGCATGACGAAGAATCCGGAGCCGAACGAGGTCAGATGGTTGCAGGTACAGATCGTGGCTCGGTAGTTGGAGTCTGTGACCTGGGAAAGCCGCGACGGACACATGTGACGTATGTGACGTGGATTCGGGATTACCGCGGGCAAGGGTGGTTATCGCACATACTGTCGGTGATTCATTTCAAGCCACATATTAACTACGCGATCGCAAAGGGAAACTCGGGACAGAAATATTCCCTGTTCCATGTGTAACCACACGGTGCAAGTACAGCGCAGCGGAACATAGGTGGTTGCATGGCTAAGGAACGCTGGCCGCAGCGGTGTTACGTGTCGATGCAGCCCAGCAAGCTTGTTAAGCCCACAGACAGTGCAGAACTCACCGTGCAGCCGTCGCTCTCCCACACGTCGGAGATGGTATTGTAGAAGAGACAGCCAGAGGTGTACACACGAAGCGTGTAGTTGGTGGAGTAGACGTTGGTCATGTTGGCCCACGTCAGGTTCGTTGCCGACGGGTCTTCGAAGAACACCTGAGGGAGCGCAAACGCTGCCAGTTGTGAGAACTGTACCGACAGAAGACATCAGTCCGCTGATCACAAACGTGGGCATGGATGGATCCTTGTGTCTCTTCAGCGGGACATGACCCCTTACTCCTCTCCGGGTTGTTTGTCCCGGTACACTGATATCCCGCCAACACTTATCAAAAGATAGCAAACGCCTCAATACCCGCGTGTCTATGGGGAATAACCACAGCCTTTTAAGCTACCCAATCGATTTTCGTGAGGCTGCGCTCATGCACGCGAACATTGTCGTTCGAAACTAATCTAAGGCATCCACCAGTCTAGCTGTTCAGAGCTGGCAGCTGAACTGGTGGGTCGGGCCTGCCGATGATCACTCTGGCAACAGCAGCAACCGTGGGCCAGCCCGGCCCCTGCTCACCTCGTCATCTGTGGTGTTGGAGAACTCGGCACCCCGATCCAGTACTCCCCGGTCATGTTGAGCACGTACGAGTCCGGCACAAAAATGTCGTACAGCGGGTACGAGTACAGCAGCGTGTCGTTACCGTAAGGGTCGTATGGCTCCAGGGCGCGGTTAGGCACTGCCGGTCAAAGGCCAGGTCAGAGGAAGCCGGCCTCGTGGCTTGTTGCGATGACCTCAAACATACGACCGAGCAGATGCAGCATCGTATTAGCTGTTTATGAAGCCATAAGTAACTGTCGAGTTGGTTGGAACGCATTAGCTCCATTGGTGATTGAAAATGGACTGGAGATGACACGGATTGCGGGAAGGCATGTCCGTCCAGCACCGCCGCAATCCCAGTCAGTGAACACCGCTTAACGCCCCGTCACCAGTTTTCAAGCGCTTCTTACCGACTTTGAGCCGGACGTACTCGGAGAATGTAACTTGGTGGGCACGACCGCTCGGCTGTCGGGAGCCTTCCTCGGTGGGTGGTGCCGTCACCACCACCGGCCGGTGCAGGCCGTGCGGGCGTGGTGCCGTTGTACTCCCCGGTGCTGTTGCCGTCGTACCACTCGTTGGTGGTGCTGGCGCCCAGCGGGCCTGCCGTGACGGTTGAGGAGGGCGGCCACGGAGCCGGCGTGGTCGAGCCGAACGTCATGAGGTCCTCCTCGCACAGCACGGCAGCTACAGTGGCACGTCGGGTAGAACACTCAGCTGTAGCTCGGCTCAGGTCAGCCCAGCTCCGCTCAGCTCAGCTCAGCTCAGCTCACTGGGCGGTGCTGCACTTCTGTGAGCTAAACTCAGTCGAAGTTTATTCGGCGGCATATAAATATGGACGCGAAGGCACAAAACCATTGACGAAGGATGAACACGCAGAAAGCAAGTAGAAGAACAGAAAATAACAGCAAACATATTGTGATTCGCCATCAAAACCATAACAATGATCAGATCTAAGCATGTTTTCATTTTCATGTTGGTGTTACAGCTCGGTGAGTGACGTACGTTCGGTGATGCCGCCCGGGATGCAGGTTTCGTTAGTGCCGTACGTGCTGTTCACTCCCTCCAGCTCCTCACAGGCCGGCACTACAACAGCAGGTAACAAGTGTGAGGGCGCCAGTGAGGCTGGCCAGCATACTGTGGCATGATATTAGCACAGCATCGCTACCGCATGAGGACGTAGCCAGGAAAATAGACAAGGACAGAACCATGCCATGGCCGTTGTTTGTTTTCCCACCCATTCATTGTACCAGCTGATCTGATGGAGATTTTGGCATGGTACGCGCTAAACAGAAACTTGACTGTCTTTCTTACCCTAAACAACAGCTACCGCAGTTGTAAGCTGTGAGCCCCTCAGCGTGTACCGCGCTATTAAACATGGGGCATAACATTCATAGAAATACGGTGCAAATGTACCAACCTCGGATTGTAGTTAATGGAACTGCTGTTGTGATCGGTATTGGTTCTTCCATGGGCTCTTGGGAAACTGGAAAAACAAAGTTATGCATGAGGACATTTGCGTTGCTGTCAACATTCACCACCAATTTCCAGCGTCTTGTTTCGGCCACAAACCCGAACGGAAGCACGACACACAGGCCCACTTCTGTTCCGTAGGTTGCTCATAACGCGTTACAAACTCTTCGTGGTCCTGGAAGTCTGGCCTGCAGCGCCTTCCCAGAGAGAACGCACCGTCCACGGTGAAGTTGGTGGGCAGCTGGACCTTCCAGACCCAGTCGTAGTGGGTGAGGTTGGGCTTGATGCCGCGCTTCATGAAGACCACCAGCTGGGCGTCAGGCCTGGACACCGACACCTCGATGTTGATGGAGACGTCCTGGCGCGTGATGTTCACCGAGTGGTACATCATGATCTCCTTTGAGTTGGGCAGTGGCTCCACGAACGTCGGGTCTGTGAACAACCACAGGTGGAGTTTACAAGAGCTCAGGAAGTGGGATTTACGAGAGATGGGAGACGAACCGGGTGTGGCAATACTTTTGCACAGTAATAAAGCCAAAAGGCATATTGCATGCCTTCATATTTGTCACATCGGCTACATATGTAGCGAGATAATCTAGACCGGAGGGCAGCATGGCGGAACTGGAACGTACAGTACCAAGGAGGGAGAGGCGGACAGAAGATCGAATTGGGGAGACGGCCAGAGATGTGCTCACCAGGCAGGACCGGCTTGGATCCCTTCTTGCCGCGCGGAACACGGATCTGGATGCGCTGGTTGCTGGGCAGGTCGTAGACGGGCAACTGCTCCAGGTCGGTGGTGCCGACGCGCTGCACCAGCTTCAGCTGCATGTTCTTGCTGTCCTTGCTGACCGAGTCTGTCCCCTCGCCATACGACTGGAATAAACACCGCGCGCGGATGAGCACGACTTGTCGCCAGGGGGCGTCAGCCGGTGCAACGTCCGCTGCCTCTTTCCCCCCGGGCAACAACCGTATCCCCCCGACCTGTTGCAGCAAGTTTTATTTATTTTGCACTGAAAATAGTGCGTCTTACTTGGTCTACTCCACCCGCTAACAACCGGCATGACCTCAGCGCCGTAACCGACGACGACTGTCCCCGCCCGCCGGTTGCTGGACCTCCTGCCCGCGCCGGCGTGACTTCAGCGTCGTAACCGACAGCGGCCGAGCCCACCCGCCGCTTGCTGGACCTCCTGCCCGCGCCGGACGTGACTTAGCGTCGTAACCGACAGCGACCGTGCCCACCCGCGCTTGCTGGACCTCTACCCGCGCCGGCGTGACTTCAGCGTCGTAACCGACAGCGGCCGAGCCCACCCGCCGCTTGCTGGACCTCCTGCCCGCGCCGGCGTGACTTCAGCGTCGTAACCGACAGCGGCCGAGCCCACCCGCCGGTCGCTGGACCCCCCACCCGCGCGGTAAGCCGACATCGGTCAGTGGGGCCACCCAACTGACGTAGAGTAGTGTGGGCCAGTGATAGCCTGCAGCCCGACGGTATGTTGTAG